AGCGATTCTCCTGCCTCGGCCTCCTGAGCAGCTGGGATAACAGGCATGCACCACCACACCTGGCTAATTTTTGTATTTTTGTAGAGACAAGGTTTAACCATGTTAGCCAGGCTGGTCTCAAACCCTGATCTCAAGGAATCCGCCCGCCTTGGCCTCCCAAAGTGCTGGGATTATAGGCATGAGCCACTGCACCCGGCCGGTATACTGACTTGTAATAGTTCCGTAAAATCAAAATACACATGATCAGCACTGATAGAATCCTGGAACCTCTAGGTAACCGGCCTGTAGTGAATACAGTGGCTCCTCCAGAGGGCTATGGTGCTGGTAACTCTGACCTTCATTATAGCAAGAGACTGGCCCCTGGTGGTGGTGAAGCAGATAGAATCAGTATTCTGCCAACCAGGCGCACTGCAGTCTACCAGGCCTACCCTGCCCCTTACCATGCACTCCCCCTATTGGGGGAGAACATTCATTTTTATTTCAATCATGGGAATATCTTCTAATACACACAGGCCCTTTTTTTTAAACTTTAAGCCAACTTTTCTGAAATGCACTTATTCCTTCTGACACAAAAAATTATTTAACATAACACTTTCCCAAATCCTACAGAATTAGCATAGTGCTAGACACATTATAAGGCCCTCAATAAATACATAAATTAAAATTTAAAACATAAAAATAATCTAGGAAGATAGCAAGTCTTTAGCACACTGATTCAAATTTCCCTGTTAGAAAATGAATACTTTCTAACTAGATAAACTTGAGCCAAACTGTACATAAATGCATGTTCGTTCACGATCTTTAAATTAAAAAATCTGAGCTGGGTGCGGGAGATCATGCCTGTAATCCCAGCACTTTGGGAGGCCGAGGCGGTGGACCACTTGAGGTCAGGAGTTCGAGACCAGCCTGGCCAACATGGTGAAACCCCATCTCTACTAATATACAAAAATAAGCCTGGCGTTGCGGCGTATGCCTGTAATCCCAGCTACTTGGGAGGCTGAGGCATGAGAATTGCTTCAACCTGGGAGGCGGATATTGCAGTGAGCCGAGATCGCACCACTGCACTCCAGCCTGGGTGACAGAGCAAGACTACCGTCTCAAAACAAAAAAAAGAAAAAGAAAAAATCTGGCTGTTTAAATAAAAATCTACTGCCTCAAAAATTTTTTTCTTAAGAAATTTTCCGTAAAAGGCCATAAAATGTGAGCTAATTTTCTGTATTTGAGTTCCTTTACATGTTTTTATTCCTAAATATATTATGAATAATGTAAAAAGTCATCAAGTGTCGCCACCCACATTGCAGATAGTTTATCTCATGCGAGTCTTAAATCTGGTTACGTGGCACTACCTCTAGAAACCACCCAGCACTTCCCTTTTATGGAAAAAACAAAGCATCTAAATTTTCAAAAATTTTGCTAGAGCGTTTCAACAGCCTCTTTCTTAAACAATTAGAATTTGCTTCTGACCAGCTACATTGTTGATGAAAACCCTCTCAAGTCTAATGAATCCATCTGGCATGGGTTTTCATTTTCAGATATCTTGTAAAAGATCACACTAAACAATCACTTAATTCTTAGGTACTTATAATCTGTTTATCCATACAAATACTAAAAATAGTAATTGGAGTAAAAATAAAATCAACACCAGTAAGGCACAAGTTACTACATGAAAGTGAATTGCACTGCCACAAAAATCACTCTTAAATTCTGAGCTGGATTCATTTTAATTATAAATTTCAGAGATGGACTGTAAAAGATCTAGTCTGAGCAGAAGCATCTGACAATCTGCTCTCCCATTCCCAGGCAAAATCCAATTCATATTTCTCAGCACAAAAGCCAAAAACAATCTTATAGTGTGTATGTTAAGAGATTGATCTGAAGATTCTATTCTTATTGTGTATATATAAACCCAGAAAGCTGTGGAATCTACCATAAATCTGAAAAATGTCCAGCGTTAATTACAAAAGAATGTTAAAATTCCTGTAGTTTCATGAGTGAACCATCATGATTACATAATGTGTATTTTGATGCATTTATTTGGCTTTTGTCACTGGACTATTCATTGTGGAGATGAACATCTCAGTATGTCTGTTTTCTATGATTAACATCAATGGCAGAGGTTGTTTTTATTAGCCTTATTTAGCATCGTGCACATTAAATTCCAGTATATTCTGGAATAAGCTAGGGATATAAACTATTCAGATTTTTATTTTTTGACACAAGTGTCTTACTTTGTCACCCAGACTGGAGTGTTCACTGCAGCCTCACCCTTGAGGGCTGACGCAAACCTCCCACCTCAGCCTCCTGAGCAGCTGGGATGACAGGAATATGCCACCACACCCGGGAAATTTTAGAGATGGTGTTTCACTATGTTGCCCAGGCTGGTCTCGAACTCCTGGTCTCAAGCAATCCACCCGCTTTGGCCTCCCAGAGTGCTGGGATTAAGGCATCAGCCACCCTGCCCAGTCATCTGGTTCTTAAATGAGTCTTAAGTCCTAGAGTAAACAAGAGCAAATCTAGGAAAGGAGACCTTCAGATAGACCAAATGACTCATTGTTGGGCGTTGTCCACAAAGCAAGCTGTTGAATTTCAAGGACTGGAGATTGGTTCTACCTTTGGGGGAGAAACTGGTTATCCCAGTGATGGAATGCCTTAATGAAAAATTTCCCTAAAGCTTCAAGTTCCTCTGTGGAGTCAGTTTTAGGATTTTACTAACTCACAGAAAACAACCAAATTTATGATATGATACAGCGAATAGCCTGGAAAGCACTTTCTTAATACTGCCTAGAACTCCATTTTAAGCAAGAGCTGAAATTAGGATAAAATAATTATCCTATCTGGAAAGGCTGGGTGTGGTGGCTCATGACTGTAATCAGGACAAGAAAAGAGATGGGGCATGGTGGCTCACGCCTGTAATCCCAGTGCTTTGAGAGGCTGAGGCAGAAAGATGGAGGAGTTCAAGGGCAGCTTGGACAACACAACGATATCCTGCCTCTACCAAGAAAAAGAAAAGAAAAAAGAAAGTAAAGGCACTCGGACTTGTTTATATAGACACTAGCTACATTAGTTACAATAGAAAAAGAAGAAATATTAGATTTTAGATCACTGTAAAGCATAATGAGATAATCTGTTCGAATTTGCTACGGCTTTATTTATTTATTTGAGAGGGAGTATCGCTCTGTCACCCAGGATGGAGTGCAGTGGCGTGATTTCGGCTCACTGCAAGCTCCGCCTCCCAGGTTGAGGCCATTCTCCTGCCTCAGCCTCCCCAGCAGCTGGGACAACAGGCGCACGCCACCATGCCTGGCTAGTTTTTTTGTATTTTTAGTAGAGACAGGGTTTCACTCTTAGCCAGGATGGTCTTGATCTCCTGACTTCGTGATCCGCCCGCCTGGGCCTCCCAAAGTGCTGGGATTACAGGCGTGAGCCACCGCGCCCGTTTATTTATTTTTTGAGATGGAGTTTCACTCTCCTTGCCCAGGCTGGAGTGCAGTGGTGCGATCTCAGCTCACTGTAATCTTTTGCCTCCTAGGTTCAAGCTTCTCCTGCCTCAGCCTCCTGAGTAGCTGGGATTATAGGCGCCCACCGCCATGCCCAGCTAATTTTTTGTATTTTTAGTAAAGACCGGGTTTCATCATGTTGACCAGGCTGGTCTCGAACTCCTGACCTCAGGTGATCCACCCACCTCGGCTTCCCAAAGTGTAGGGATTACAGGCATCAGACACTGCACCCAGGATTGCTTCAGTTTTAAAACCAGTTAAAATGTTCTATGTTCAGCCGATGTCTTAACGAGTTTGTTTTTCAATTAGAGATGAATGGAAAGATGAGTTAAAAATATATATTGGAGAGGGCTGGGTGTGGTGGTCATGTCTACAATCTAAGCGCTTTGGGAGGCCAAATTGGGAGGATCATTTGAGCCCAGGAGTTTGAGACCAGCTTTGGCAACATAGCCAGACCTCATCTCTACCCCCTGCAAAAAAAAAAAAAAAAAAAAAATTAGCCATGTGTCACGGTGTATGCCTATAGTCCCAGCTACTCCAAGCTGAAGATCCCATGAGCCTATGAGTTCAAGGTTATAGTGAGCTATGACCATGCCACTGCACTCTAGCCTAGGTGACTGAGTGAGCCCGTTGCTAAAATAAATAAAACAGTGCAGAATATTTTAATTCCTAATTTTTAATAATATCTACATTAATAAATATAACATTACAAATTTTTTTGAGACAGGGTCTCACTTTGTTGCCCAGGCTGGAGTGCAGTGGCATGATCATAGTTCACTGCAGCCACAACCTCCTGGGCTCAAGCAATCTTCCTACCTCAGTCTCCCAAGTAGCTGGGACTATAGGCACTTTGCCAGCAGGCCTGGCTAATTTCTTATTTTTCTGTTTGTAGAGATGGGGTCTCACTATATTGCCCAGGCTGAACTCAAACTCCTAAGGTCAAGTGATCCTCCCACCTCAGTCTCTCAAAGTGCTGGGATTACAGTTGTGAGCCACTATGTCCAGCTAAATGTAACATTATTAAATGTAAATACTACAGCATCAGTTCAACCAGAATGCTGCTTTAAGTACAGCAAAATTCAAAACTCTAAAATTTTCATTTTTTCTTGAACAAATTTTGATGTATCTTTGTTCTTATACAAATTTCTGACATATGGCCGGGCGCGGTGGCTCAAGCCTGTAATCCCAGCACTTTGGGAGGCCGAGACGGGCGGATCACAAGGTCAGGAAATCAAGACCATCCTGGCTAACATAGTGAAACCCCATCTCTACTAAAAATACAAAAAAATTAGCCGGGCGTGGTAGCGGGCGCCTGTAGTCCCAGCTACTCGGGAGGCTGAGGCAGGAGAATGGCATGAACCCAGGAGGCGGAGCTTGTAGTGAGCCTAGATCGCGCCACTGCACTCCAGCCTGGGTGACAGAGCAAAGACTCCGTCTCAAAAAAAAAAAAAAAGAAAAGAAAAATTTCTGACATACTACATGTGAAAAATGATCCACTCTCAATGGGTATTATACATTTTATTTAAAGACTTCAAAGTAAAAAAAAAAAAAGGTACAGAAATACAGATTACATTATGATGACCACAGTAGTATTCTACATGACAAAAATAAAAACAGATTTAAGTAAATGTACCGGCACTGAACAAGCATTTACTTAACATCCAATCCAGGCTGCATATGCACAAAATGATCTGACCAAATGCTTATGCAAAATAAAGTTTTTCTTACAACGCCAAAATTCCAACCATTCTGACTGTCCGCTGCCTATTCCCCTGTTGAGTATTTTCAGCGAACTTTTATAGAATATAAAAACAATTGGCATGGCACTTAAAAGACTGCAAAAAACAACACAATTAAAAACATTACAATGCATTTCTGTATAAAATATACACCGTAAATATTACTAGTTAAAAAAAGATTTAAAAACAAAAGACCACCCTGAACAATTGTTAAAACCTCATCATAGAAAAATGCTCATCATTTTGTACATTATTGATAGAAACTACTGAGAGGTTTCTTTAGGGGGCTGAGGGGAAGGTAGATACCTAACTTAAAGATTCATTCAAAATTTGCTTTCAATTGTGGGTAATAACTCACGGCTTACCCCTTCTCAAAATGTTTTATCATGAATACTCTAGTATTTAACCACAGGACAAACATAAAGAATAACCTGAAGAAGGTGTCGAAGGCCCCAAAAGAAGTCTAAGGAGGCCCACTAGTGTGCATTTTAAACAAACTTCCTAGGTGATTATTTCACATTCCAAAATCTGAGAACTAATGCCCTATGGGAAACAGCACCACTGAAAAGCAAGGTCATAAACATATTTCTGACATCAGATACAGAATTCTAAGTTTATGATTTGAAGTGAATACTGCTTTTTGTTTTAAAAGAAGTTTCAGGTGTTAAGAGAAACATATTAAATAAACATGCAGGTGTACATAAACATTTTCCTTTGAGGTTTTCATTGCTTTCAGACTTATATTATTTGAAGGAAAGAGAGTACATAGCTAGAAACTTTGGAAAACTGACATTTCCAGTGAAATGCAGCATCCACCCCTCCAAAAAAAGATAATTTATTATATGCCTACAAATTTTAAAACATTTGAAATTTAAACTAGATAATTTCCTAAAGTTAAGTCTTACTAAGATTAAAAAATTTTAAGTAATTTAGATAATCATGGTTACTTTTTAAGTCCCTTTTCATTAAAAAAATATTTAAAATAAACAGAAGGATGCTATATTTGGCACCCCTTTAAATAATAAGCTGCTAAACACTAATATTAATAAAAAATAATCCAAGGAACTCTGCCTCTGAAATGTATTCTACTATGTGTTACATGTGTTATCAGTTAATAAAAACTCACTGAAAGAGCTGATACTGTGATGTGTGTGAGTGTATATGTGTATCCTGAACATTCATGCCTACTTTATTTTTCTGATTTCACTAAAGACTCTATAAACAGGGTCCAATCATATAATGTGGTTTAGGAGAAGAAATGAGGATAATTAAGATATCCTACTTAAAAAAATAAATAATTTTCCTGTATACTAAATTATAAGGAAAAAATATTATACATTCTGCCTCCACTGAATACATGGAATGCTTTTACAAGTTTGGTAACAATATTGAGTGCCTCATTTGAATCAAGTCACAAAAAGCAACTGTGGGGATTCACTCTCCAATAGGAAATAAAAATATTACCACTGTACTTTTCTGTATCTATTTTAAATTTCCGTTTTTTTCCTTTCTCTATACTGAGTAATTTTCCATTCAACTGCATCCTTGGTCCTTTGCATCATATAGATTAACATTCCAGTTAGTTTCCCATAAACGGATAGGCTTAGAAGGGAGCTACCCCGTTAATATACTTAAAAAGAAAAATCACTTGTGCCAGTTTTGCAAATATAGTTAATGATTTGGAATCTGATTTATAATAAAGTGTCTGCGTTTTAACTCAAGAAGAATTTCCCAATTTGGTTTTTGTTTTGTTTGGTTTGGTTTGAGACCGAGTCTCACTCACTGTTGTTCAGGCTGGAGTAATCTTGGCTCACTGCAAACTCCATCTCCTGGGTTCAAGCGATTCTGCTGCTTCAGCCTCCCGAGTACCTGGGATTACAGGTGCCCGCCACCATGCCCAGCTAATTTTTGTATTTTTAGTAGAAACGGGATTTCACCATGTTGGCCAGGCCAATCTCGAACTCCTGACCTCAAGTGATCTGCCCGCCTTAGCCTCCCAAAGTGCTGGGATTGCAGGCGTCAGTCACTGCACTCAGTTGAATTTCCCAATTCTAAGCAAGCAGCATCTCTATTAGCAATTTAATAACTGCTGCCTTAAAAAATCGATAATTTATTTATCCAAGGCAGTAAAATTTACACCTGAATTTTTAAACATAAAGAACTCCAAAACTAATAGGTAATATAAAAAGTTGTTGCATTTTATATTAATCTTTTATTTCAAAGTTAAACCCTGAAATGATTTAACACAGAATGACAAAAATTATGGGAGGTTTATGATGTAATCCCACTACGTGCCTTAACGCAACAGACGCTTTTTTAATGCAGTGGTTTTCTTTTTTTTTTTAAACAAAAAAGATAACTTCATTACTCATCTGTAGGCCTTTTAAAAACTGAAAAACCAGTTCAACTAAATTTTGACATGATTGTCTGGAAGCTAGTATTAATTTCTTTTTCATAGTAAAATAGATGTAACAATTGATTAATATATGTCTATGAGAGAAGATATTGGGTGTTTTTTTGTAGGTGGCAAATATAAAATGGTTAATTTTATCCAGGCTGGCAGCAAGTTTATCCATGCATTAAATGGCAACATGAGAAGAATACATGGTTGAAAAAATGAGGATCAGACACATTCTTCTGCAGACATCAAAAGAGGATTGATATACTCAAAACCTTCAAATTCAGACTGATCAATCTTCCTCACAATGTCACTGTTGAAAGAAAAATAAATTTATTTTCATCATAATAAAGATTTCTTCAACCTTTAAATGGTAAAATAAGATTAAAAAACAAATAATTAGGCTAACTGTACTGAAAGAAAATCTATAAATTTTTAGATTAATCCCCAAAATTTTCTAGACAAATCAAGAATGGAGTACTGAAAATTTAAACAGCCCCGATAATCCCACAAGCAAGTCTAGAGCCAAAAAGGAGTTCGAAACTGAGGACCGAATAAAGAAGACACCAGTTGTCACCATTCCAGTTAATCTTAACTTTGGACCAGAACAATATTCTTAGTTACAGGTGAACATCCAGGTTTGAATTAGCATTCAATTTAGTAGTCACCTCAACAGCCAGATGTTAGATGGTGTAGCCAAGAAGTAGTTAGCCAAAAGGAAAAGGCAATAGGAACAAGTACACTGAGAGACCTGGAATGAGGAGAGAACACCACAGGGAGACCTTGGGTCACAGAGAGGGGAGAGGTTGTCATTTTGTTACACTGGCTTCTACTTTAATACACAGTGAGTAGTGCTATCAAATATTTAATACATAAATGTATATGCCATACTAAGAAGCACAAAGTTACAGAGGACACAGTCCCTTCCTTCAAGGAGGGGAGGTAACTCATACTGGAAGAGAAAGCAGTACTTGTTAAATTTTACACACAATAAGCTAAGTCCTGTTCTAACCACGGTTCTAAAGAAAGGCGCGACTTCTAGTTGGAGAAATCAAGGAAGGCAGTATTCATTTTGCAAACACTTAATAAATGGAATGATGAAAGACTGTGGTAGGTCTGGGGAAATGCAAGTAATTTATTAGGGTGGAACACAGGAATAGAAGTGTGTTAGATGGCAGATGATGCTGGAAGAAAAATAATGGCTAATAATCAAAGAAGCCAGTGATGTTTCTAAGGAGTTTCACCTTGATCCATCAAAGATCTGGTTGCATCTGAGGTGGCTCTGAAAGATGGGAAGATTTCAACAGGTAAAAATGAAGGGGGAATATACAGGAATGAGCAGGCAGAGGCAGAGATAATAATACTATTAGTGAATGGTGACTAGCAAAGACTGATGAGAACACTGTTTGTATTATGGTGAGAGGTATCACTAGAAAGTCAGGCTGGAGCAGATGTGGGGAGGCCTCAAATGCTAGCCAAGATGATAGATGTTACCTAATAGGCAATGAAGGAGTTACTGAAGGTTTCTGATTAAAGGGGTTCAAGAATTGGAGTGGTACTTCACAAGGCATACAGAATAGGTTGCAAAGTGAAGGAGTAAAGATCAATTAGGAGGCTGATACAATACTCTGGGTATGACTTGAATGAGGCCTGAACTAGGATGTGTCAATGGGAAGAGAAAAGAAGGACCTGATGTAAATGATGAAATAATGAAAACATAGACAAAGACTTGGCAGCTGCAGGTATTATGTAATCTGTTAAGAAAAAGGAGTAGTCCACAATCACTGACATCTGGAATCTGAACGACAGGAACACACTGTGGTACAGTGAGCAGAACTAGGTAACTAAAAAAAAGGAACTGATTGAGAACAATAGAAAGAGACCATAAAGGGTCATTACTTTGATTTTAGACTTCATATATTTGAGCTGCTTGATGACAAACTGGGGGACATGTTAAACAGAAATGCAGCTGAGGAGATCTAACGGCAGGGGATAAGTGCTTCAGAAACCATCATGCATGTATTCTTCACAGCAACCTTAAGAGGTAGGCAATTCGAGAACAGGCTCAGAGAAGTTATGCAATTCTTATACAAGGTTACCCAGTTGGTAAGAGGTGGCATTGGGATTCAAACTCCTATCTTTTGATTAAATTCAGTGTTCCTTTTAATACACAATGCTGTCAGAAATAATGATTTGGTACACATCTTTCTCCTCTAGTAGACAGGACGCTTTTGGGGAGATTAGACTGTCTTATCTTTGAATGTCTAGTATTTAGCATAACGCCTTTTGCTCAATAACCATTTGCCATTTAACTGAGAGTCATTTAATTAGCTGGTATCTATGCTACAGGGCTGGCTGAAATCTCCAAGGTACAAACTGCATACAGCAAAAAGAAGGTTGTCATGAACAGAACCATGAAGCATCCTGGTCTCAAGGGGACAGGGAAAACACATGAGAGAAAAGTAGTCACAGAGATGAAACAGAACCAGAATAGGCAGTGCTACCCAAGGCAAAGCCATAAGTACCAAATGCTTTACATTCATCAAGGGAGGTGAGGACTCACCCCAAAATGCTTTACAATTTAGAAATTAAGAAATTGATTCAACTTTCAAAAGCTGGAGGACAAGCTCAGTTGTAAGGGGTTGAAGTGTTGACAGAAAAAAAAAAATTCAAGACAATCAACATTGACTAGTCTGAAGAAGTTAGATTAGAGGTGCTGCATATTTATTTTTCTTTGACCATGAACATCTATTGACTTTTTTTTTTTTTTTTTTTGAGGCTTCAAGACGAAATGAAAATGAGCAAAAATGTGGTTGTTCAAAGAGGGACTATGAGTTAGGGGGAAAAAATCAGAGAATCTGAGCATGCTTACACAGAGAGAAGCAAGCTAGAAAAAAATAAATCTAAGAAGGTCCAATAACAAGATAACTGACAAAATGAAATATTGGAGAAAACTACAGAAACAGGTCTAAGAAAATATGAGGGACGCTCCTTGTAAAGGAGAGCCTTCCAAGAGTAGGAATAAGAAAATGTTGAAAAGAATTAGAAAGCAATTCTGAGATGCAAGGTGGTCTGGTGACAGCTGGAAAGGAGGCAAGGTCACGCCAGAGAGGTTATCAGTCCTTGCATCAAATTAAGACAAGGTTAATCCTTTAACAGTGATGGAAAAAGGAGAAGAACTGAAGGCTTCTGAAATGAAGAGACTGTTTGGAGCAGGTGCTGGGAGAAATGTGGTAAGAAATAAGATAGAAGTAAAATGACTGCCAAACAATAAGGGCCTCCTTGAGATTAGAGAGAATGAATCTGTAACAACAGGTAAATAATCAAAATATCCCCCAATTATTTTAAGGTATATTTTTAAAAGATGCAGTATAAGTACAAAAAATATATCAGCTCACTGCTGGCTGGATTTAATAACTCAATGTAATTCCTTAAAAAAAGCAATTTGGCAATACATATCAAGAGCTTTAAAATGTTAATACCCTCTGACCTAATTCCCTTTCTAGGAATCTATCTTAAGGCAATACTCAGGAACTTAGACAAAGACAGTCCTTGTCAAATGGGAAACAGTGCAGCGGTAGAGAGATTTGGGTTTGAATCCTGACTCTACCACCTGATAGCTGTGTAACTTTGCTTAACCTCTCTGAGCCTCAGTTTCCTCATCTGTAAAATGAAGATGACAATTTAACTAGTTTACAAAGTTGTTGTGAAAATGAGATAATGCACGATAAAGCCAAGGAGAAAATGACAGTTACTATTAAAACTTATAATAGTACAGTGGATTCAAATACCAGTAACTGAATGGTTATATAAATTATAGTATAGGCCGGGCGCAGTGGCTCACACCTGTAATCCCAGCACTTTAAGAGGCCAAGGTGGGTGGATCACCTGAGGTCAGGAGTTCAGGATCAGCCTGGCCAACATGGCAAACACTGTCCTTACTAAAAATATAAAAATTAGCTGGGTCGTGGCATGAGCCTGTAGTGCCAGCTACTCAGCGTGGCCGAGGCAGGAGAATCGCTTGAACCTGGGAGGCAGAGGTTGCAGTGAGCCAAGATTGCACCACTGCACTCCAGCCTGGGAGACAGAGCGAGACTCTGTCTCAAAAATAACAAAACAAAACAAAACAAAACAAAATAAAATAAAATAAAATAAAATATAAAAAAATTAATAGTATAATCTGATCATGAAACACTGCATAGTCACTAAAAATGGGATTTCCAAAAAACTTAAAAAAAAATTTCAGGCCGGGTGCGGTGGCTGAAGCCTGTAATCCCAGCACTTTGGGAGGCCGAGACGGGCGGATCACGAGGTCAGGAGATCAAGACCATCCTGGCTAACACGGTGAAACCCCGTCTCTACTAAAAAATACAAAAAGCTAGCCGGGCGAGGTGGCGGGCGCCTGTAGTCCCAGCTACTTCGGAGGCTGAGGCAGGAGAATGGCCTAAACCCAGGAGGCGGAGCTTGCAGTGAGCTGAGATCCGGCCACTGCACTCCAGCCCGGGCGACAGAGCAAGACTCCGTCTCCAAAAAAAAAAAAAAAAAAAAAATTTCAGTGTACAGAATTACTTACTCGTCATCCGGAGTGAGCTGGACAGGTTCATTGGTAAACTGAGAATCAAAGTTGTCCAAACCAAACTCCCCAGAAATATTTGGTTTAAAGGGAGGTACCACCTGTTTTTGCTCCATCTGAAAAGACATATTGGATGACAGCTCAAGTCTGTATTATTAGAAAAATTGCACCTCTACAGTTCTCCTCTGCACTCATTGTTTCCCTTATTAAAGTGAGTCCTGAAGCACGGTACAATGATATTAGCAATGATGAACATAATTTACAAATATGAGCTGGGCATGGTGGCTCATGCCTATAATCCCAACTGCTTGGTAGGTTGAGATGGGAGGACCACTTGAGGCCAGGAGGGACAATATAGCAAGACCCCATCTCTATTAAAAAATTAAAAATTGGCTGGGCATAGCAGTTCATGCCTGTAATCCCATCACTTTGGGAGGCCAAGGTGCGTAAATCACCTGAGGTCAGGGATTCAAGACCAGTCTGGCCAACATAGCAAAACCCTGTCTCTACTAAAAATACAGAAATTAGCCAGGCGTGGTGGCGTGCACCTATAATCCCAGCTACTCTGGAGGCTGAGACAGGAGAATTGCTTGAATCCAGGTGGCGAAGGTTGCAGTGAGCTGAGATTGTGCCACTACACTCCAGCCTGGGAGACAGAGCAAGACTCCACCTCAAAAAAAAAAAAAAAAAAAAAAAAATGAAAATCAGCTGGGTACCATGGCTTATGCCTATAGTCCCAGCTACTTGAGAGGTTAACACAGGAGGATCTCTTGAGCCTAGGAGTTCAATCAAGGCTGTCGTGAGCTACAGTATAGCCTGGGTGATGGAGTGAGACTGTTTCTCTTAAAAAAACAAACAAACAAAAACAAGTATAAACATTGATATGGGCTTCAATAACATTATAACCTGCTTTATTACATTAATATTCAATTTTTTGGCTGGGTACAGTGGCTCACCCCTGGAATCCCAACACTTTGGGAGGCTGAGGCAGGTGGATCACTTGAGGTCAGAAGTTCAAAACCAGCCTGGCCAACATGATGAAACGTTGTCGCTACTAAAAATATAAAAATTAGCTGGGCATGGTGGCATGTGCCTGTAATCCCAGCTACTCAGGAGGCTGAGGCAGAACTGCGTGAACGCAGGAGGCGGAGGTTGCAGTGAGCAGAGATCACACCATCGCACTCCAGCCTAAGCAACAGAATGTGACTCCATCTCAGAAAAAAACAAATTTTTAAAAAAAGGATTTTTTTTGTTTTAAAAGTTTTCTAAAAAGCAGTTTAGAAAGTGGTTTTAAGTTTTTAAAGCTGTGATATGTTAGCTAAGACAATAAAATTTGGCCCAAGATAGGCCAGGTGCGGTGGCTCACACCTGTAATCCCAGCACTTTGGGAGGTCAAGGTGGGTGGATCACCTGATGTCAGGAGTTCGAGACCAGCCTGGCCGACATCGTGAAACCCCCCATCTCTACTCAAAATACAAAAATTAGCCGGGTGTGGTGGTGCGTGCCTGTAATTCCAGCTACATGGGAGGCGGAGACAGGAGAATTGCTTGAACCCGGGAGATAGAGGTTGCAGTGAGCCGAGATCGTGCCACTGCACGCCAGCCTGGGCGACAGAGCAAGACTCTGCCCTAAAAAAAAAAAAAAAAAAGGTTTGGCTGAAGATAATAATGAAACCTAATAGAGAAAGTAATCAAAATTTACATACCATATCCCAATCAACATTTCGGAAGAACGGGTGTCCCTGAATATCAGCAAATCCTGTTTGAGGATGACAACCCAATCGTTCCTTAGGGTCCTATGGTGAAAGAAATGTTTCAAGAATTGGGTGAATGTCATGCTTTAAAATAAATCATCTTTGTGATCTGTGTTTTGTGCCCTCACATGATAGTCTTATTTCTGAAGTTGGAATGGTCTACCTTTTATTTCTAGAAAGTACAACTCCAGAACAAATTGAATTATTTGAAGCTTGTGATAGGTAAGATTTCCTTGTGGCACTTTCCCCACCTATCATGTAATTAAAACAGAGAATCATCGCCAATTCCTTGCTAAAGAAAAATAGGAGGACAAAGAGAACAGCAGAATCATTTGAGCAGCACCCAGCCATTTCTTTGGTATGACCTAGTGTGACAGTCAAAACATGCAAACCTCCAAACTTCATCAGAAGTTTGTTTTTAGCTTAATTTAAAAGCCCCATGCCCAATTACAGCAACAAATCATCGCCTGTGTAAGACATTAATCCAACTTATAAATTTAATCCAAGCCTGCAACTTATAAAAAGTCTTGGCTTATTCATTACTATGAATGAGAATATGTTCCCATTTTTCTTTCTGATAAAAGGTATTTTATTTCGCATATCAACACCTCTTGCCTTCATTTTTCATCACTATGTGAAAAACTAGGTTTCAATTTTAAATCTTTCCTCACATAACTTGTTCATTTTTAAAAAGGCTTCAATTTCTTATTTTATTAAAATTCATTATCTATTTACCTTAGAAAGTAAATGTACATCAAACTTTCTATCATACCATTTATTTAAGGTAGAATTTATGATTGCCAAGACCACACTTAGATTCTAAAACTCCTCTAGCCTACCAACAGCAACAAACAATTGAATGATGTTCACATTTTTAAGAGCCGAAGATAGCATTTCATTTCTTCTGAATTTTACCTAATTATAGCATTTTCGACATGAGAATTTGTAGGGAGCACTGTGGCCCATGTGCTCAAAAAGTACATGGTAATAAATAGATTCTATGGATAATGACACAGAAAAAATGGAAACAGAGTTCAAAGTACAATTATGGCTAAACCCAAAGATTAAATCTTCCCCTATGTGAGAATATGGTATGTATTATTTACACACAAAAAAAATATGTAATATATAGCTGGGGAGTAAATTTTATTGCCAAAATGGAAAGGACAATTAACTTATCTCAGGATCTAATGCTGTCAATTACTCTTTGGGTAAGAGAAAATTCTGGGTCAAACTGAAAAAGTTACATTCTCTACTGTCTTGGAATTTTACATTTTCCAAACTGCTACTGATCAGTTTGATATATAAAGAGACAAATCACAAAATATTTTTATACACAGTTTATACCTTGTTAAGAAAACTCTTCAGAACACTTGCAGCTTTTACAGACAGAGAACGTGGTATGCGAATTTGTTTTTCCAAAATAACTAGAAAGATAGAAATTATAGTATTATATTTAACTTTTACATGGCTTTAATCTTTTTTCTTCTTTTTTTTGAAAGGGTCTTGCTCTGTTGCCCAGGTTGGAGTGCAGTAGTGTAATCACAGCTCACTGCAGCCTTGACCCCCTGGGCTTAAGCAATCCTTCCACCTCAGGCTCCCAAGTAGCTGGGACCACAGGCGCCACCATCACGCTTGGCTAATTTTTTTTTTTTTTTAAGATGGAGTCTTGTTCTGTCATCCAGGCTGGGTACAGTGGCACGATCTCAGCTCACTGCAACCTCTGCCTCCTGGGTTCAAGCGCTTCTACCACTTCAGCCTCCTGAGTAGCTGGGATTACAGGCATGTGCCACCATGCCCAGTGAGTTTTGTGTTTTTGGTAGAGATGGGGTTTCACCATGCTGGCCAGGCTGGTCTTGAACTCCTGACCTCATGAAGGTAAGTGATCCACCCACCTCAGCCTCCCAAAGTGCTGGGATTACAGGCATGAGTCATTGCAGCCAGCAATGGCTGAGTAATTTTAATTTTTTTTTTGTAGAGATAAGGGTCTCATCATGTTGCTCAGGCTGGTCTTGAACTCCTGCACTCAAGCAATCCTCCTACCTTGGACCCCCAAAGTGCTGGGATTACAGGTGTGAGCCACTGCACCTGGCAATCTTTAAATTTCTTTTTTCTTTTTTTTTTTTTGAGACAGAGTGTCACTGTCTTGCCCAGGCTGGTGTACAGTGGCACAATCTCAGCTCACCGCAACCTCCGCCTCCCAGGCTCAAGTGATTCTCCTGCCTGAGCCTCCTGAGTAGTTACGACTAAAGGAACCCACCATGATACTCAGTTAATTTTTTTTTTATTTTTAGTAGAGACGGGATTTTGCCATGTTGGCCAGGCTGGTCTCAAACTCCCAACCTCAAGTGATCCACCCAACTCGGCCTCCCAAAGTGTTGGGATTACAGGCGTGAGCCACTGTGCCTGGGTGCAATCTTTCACTTTTTATTATAAGATATTTAAGGCATTCCAGGAGAAAAAATAAGATATTACATATGTAACTGAAGTGCCTCCTGTACTTTCCTAATCCCCTTTTCCATTCTTCTCAGAGAAAGCCTCTAATCTGAATACTATTTATCATTTACATGAATGTCTTATTCTTTGACTACCTGATTGTACCTCAATTTCCTTGTCTGTAAAATAGGAATAAAAAAATACTTCATAGGATTGTTATGAGGTTTAAATAACATTTGTAAAATGCTTGGCATATACAATATGCAATTTTATTGGACATTGCCAAATTATTCTTTAAAGCTGTTTCATCAGTTTTCATTCCTACCAGCAGTCTAGAGGAGTTCCAGTTGTTCCACATCCTCACCAGCACTGGTATTATCCAACTTTAATATTTTAATCAAATGTACCGATATGAAATGGTAACTCATTAACATTTAATGTGCATTCCCTTAATTGCTAGTGAGAATGAAAGTCTTTTCACATATTCCATGGCCATTTGGGCTTTCTGTTATATGACATGCCTATTTATATCCCGTGATGGCTTTAATTACTAAATGTAGAATTTTATAGCAGTTTTCATACTTCTTTGGATTCCGTGCTAGAGGTCCCTGTACTTGTCTGCTTGTTTCTGTCAATTCTTTATATTCCCTGATGTGGGGCCTTTTTCCCCATCTTTTGATCACTGATCACCTTGGTGCTCTATTTTCCCCTCATACTGTTCTTGAACTTATGCACCCAGCCTCAGGGTCCCTGTGTAAAGATTATCCTCTCTAGCCACAGGATTCCTTTCTCTAATCTGTCTGTGATGGATAATTCTAAATAATCCCTGTTATGATTTTGAGTATGAGAAGGTAACTGTGAACAGGAGTGAAGACTACAGAGAAGAAAGAATGTATTAAAAAACATCAAAACCTAATACACAGAGGCCGGGCGCAGTGGCTCATGCCTGTAATCTCAGCGCTTTGGGGAGGCTGAGGTGGGCAGATCACTTGAAGTCAGGAGTTCAAGACCAGCCTGGCCACTATGGTGAGACCCTGTCTCTACTAAAAATACAAAAATTAGCCGAGCGTAGTGGTGTGTGCCTGTAATCCCAGCTACTCGGGAGGCTGAGGCAGAAGAATTGCTTGAACCAGGGAGATGGATGTTGCAGTGAGCTGAGATTGCACCACTGTACTCCATCCTGGGCCAAAGAGTGAGACCTTGTCTCAAAAACAAACAAAAACAACAACAAAACCTAATACAATGAGTCAGAAGTGTATTTTCCAGATTATGCTCATTTTTCTTACTCAAAGTAGTAACCTAAGTCACTCTCATTTGTACTCTAGAACAGGTTTTTCTCAGAGAACCTCTGTAAAATACTCCAAATTACCTTGGAAGAGATAATCCTCTGTGTTCTGGTCAGGGTTATCGGAGCTCCCAACAATATCAAATGGAGACCTTCCTGCCATCATCTCAAACATCAGCACTCCAAGAGCCCACCAGTCAACACTGAAACCTTCAGACAGAAGTTTTAAAGCAATAAATTATACACTTTGCGTTCTTGAAAGTTAGTAACTGGAGATTTTATCACATAAAGGAAAAAGAAACAATGAAAAAGTAAACTAAATGCATTCCAGCTATCATGGTAGGCATTGAAGATTACAGAAATGCTTCACTTACAAGGGTAGGCACCTAAAAGACAATTTTAAAAATAAAATTATGAGGAAAAAACCTTTCTTTTTCCATGTATGTCTACTTTCAGACTCATGCCCAATATCTAATATTGTATGTTGAGGATATAATTAAATTGTATTTCAGAGTTATCTCCTTGGCCTTAAATTTGATCTTTTGCTAGCTGATAAAGACCAGTGAAGGACAATGGATGCAGACTCTGAGCAGCTTTCACAAGTACCACATTCTCCTTTATATCTGCTGAAGGCAGAGGGCCAAAACCCAAAAAGTCAAATGTTTTCTCGGGTGTATCTTCGGGTGCCTGAGATACAGTTAATCTTTCCACCATCTTTCAGATTCCTGGGGGAAATATCACAGGAAGTCTGAAAAATCTTCCAGAGGTTCATGACTCTGGAGTCACCTGGGTGCTGTTCTGAATCCTTGACCTTAGGCGAGTTATTTAATCTTTCTGTATGTCAGTTTCCTCACCTATAAAAGGAGCATTAACAGTACTTACCTCACAGCGTTAAGAGGATTAACTTAGTTAATATATGTAAACTGCTTAGAATAGTGCCTGCTACTGCTTAGTTTTGTCACTAATAAAACATTATTGAGCTTGGTAACCCCAAATACTGTCAAGGTCCCACTGTCTCTGATTTCAAAGTCTGAGGCTCTCCGTGTAGTTTTTAAAAGGATCAAGAATGCTTATATTAATAAGATGATATCAAAATGCATTAGTGTACTGTAATGCAATTGGCACCACATTTAACCACCCATCTAGCAATAGCTAAAATAATACCACCAATTTATTTATTACCATAATCTTCTCCTCTTAAAATTTCAGGAGCAATGTAATTAGGAGTACCACAGAAAGTGCTGGTTGTATCTCCTGGCCGTAATCCTTCCTTTTATTAAAAAGAACAGAAAGAAAGAATGAGATAAAAAATTCTGTTTTAAATTCCCCCTTTCGATTTCACCTATCATATAAGTTCAGCATCTGTAGTGATACATTAAACTCACTTAACATCACTAGAACAATTGCCTTTATTATTATTATTATTATTATTATTCACAGGGTCTTGCTTTGTCGCCCAGGCTGGCATGCAGTGGCACGATCTCAGCTCACTGCAACCTCCACCTCCTGGGTTCAAGCAATTCTTGTGTCTCAGCCTCCTGAGTAGTTGGAATTACAGGCAGGCACCAACACACCCAGCTAATTTTCATATTTTTAGTAGACACAGGGTTTCACCATGTTGGCCAGGCTGGTCTCGATCTCCTGGCCACAACTGATCCACCTGTCTCGGCCTCCCAAAGTGCTGGGATTACAGGCGTGAGCCATCATGCCTGGCAACTGCCTTTATTATTAAAATCACAGATCACAACTAAATAGCTTGAAGAAAACCTGTCCTCATTAGATGTTGCTAGAGTTGATTCAATTAAGGTAAGACTTGCATTTAAAATAATTTACATACAAGTTAAAATTTAATACCAAAATTTTAATATTAGTAGAATAAGGCATATTTCATGAAGAAAAGAAGTATTTTAAATCTCACCTCCTAATACAACCATTGATAAGACTACAATATTTTCCTTCTGTTTATTTTTCCTAAGAACACTTTTTTTTTTTAAAGACAGAGTTTCACTTTTGTTGCCCAGGCTGGAGTGCAATGGCACAATCTCAGCTCACTGCAACCTCCACCTCCCGGGTTCAAGCAATTCTCCTGCCTCAGCCTCCCAAGTAGCTGGGATTACAGGCGTGTGTCACCAGGCCCAGCTAATTTTGTATTTTTAGTAGAAAATGGGGTTTCTCCATATTGGTCAGGCTGGTCTCAAACTCCTGACCTCAGATGATCCACCCACCTCGGCCTCCCAAAGTGTTGGGATTACAGGCGTGAGCCACCATGCCTGGCCAGTTGATTTTTTTTTTTGCCTTGTGGCCAGAGAATGGTTTGAATATTAGTTCACTGGAATATATTGAGATTTCCTTTATGACCTAATATATGGCCAGTAGCCCATGTGTACTTAAAAGGATATATAATCTTTACAGGCAGGGAGTCTCGCTCTCTCTAATGTCTCTCTTCCTTCTCCCTCACTCCACACACCCATATAGACATACATATTCTACATATATATATATATATATATATATAAAAGCTCTAGCTTCTTTCCAAATCTTTCTCTGCCTACTGATTTTTAGTATGTGTGATGTATCATTTTCTAATATAGATTATTCTCATATTAACTTTTCCTATCATGATTGGAGATTGTGAAATTCTCATACTAATTTTGTCCTTTTTTACTCTTTGTATTTTGAGACTGTGTTGTTGAGTGTATGCAAGTTTATATTTGTTACAACTTCTTGGTGATTGCCCCATTAATTATTGGGTAGTTCCTTTACTATGCCCGTTAGTGTGTTTTGCCTTAATTTTTTCCATCCTGTAGCTATTAAAATACAGGCCGGGCGTAGTGGCTCACACCTGTAATCCCAGCACTTTGGGAGTCCGAGGTGGGTGGATCATCTGAGGTCAGGATTTTGAGACCAGCCTGACCAACATGACCTCAGGTGATCTGCCCACCTCAGCCTCCCAAAGTGCTGGGATTATAGGCGTGAGCAGTGCGCCTGGCCCTTCCTTCCATTCTTGTCCCTGACTCACCCAGTTCCAGCTCCCTAGAGGCAACCACTATTATGTGGCCTTCCAGAGATATTCTGGGCATGGTGAACATATTTTTCTTCAAATTTCACCCTATTATATATAACACTGCTATAAACACCTAGAATAAATATTTAGTAATATGTTGTGACTCCAAGAATTTTTTAAATGATTTCTAAAAGGGATATTATATGCTATTTTTAGCAATGTGAATATGGTTTTTATTGTTTTCTATTATTGGCAATGGCAGTACATTCTCATGATAAATGACATGTACTTTCAGTGTACTCATCAGAGGTAAGAGATGTAGTCTGTTAACTTGTAACAGTTATGCTTAATCATTCACTTGTTGAGTGAATGTTGGAATGTAGGTCCACTTGCTGAGTTTTCTACAGCATAACATAGATGTTATTAGAATTCCTCTGTTGATTAAAAAAAACACTTAAAGGCACATCAGTTCATAAAACCACTAAAGGTTTCCACTCAAAAAATCAATGTTCATAAAACATTTCAAACATAACTCTAAAGATATTAATTCAAGTTTTTATCACTATCCTCTGCAATCTTTATAAAGAAATTCATCCAATACTTGCATGAAGTCAAGCTTCAGGTAAGTTAAATGTTGACTCTAAGTCATAAAAGAGCATTCAAACTTTTGGAGGGTGAATGTCTCATAAACTTTCTCTTCTTAATTTTATATATATAGAGAGAGAGAGAAAGAGACGGAGTCTCACTGTCACCCAGGCTGGAGTGCAGTGCAGATCTTAGCTCACTGCAACCTCCGCCCCACCCTGGGTTCAAGAGATGCTCCTGCCTCAGCCTCTCAAGTAGCTGGGATTACAGGCACGCGCCACCACACCTGGCTAGTTTTTGTGGTTTTAGCAGAGATGGGTTTTCACCATGTTGGCCAGGCTGGTCTCAAATTCCTGACCTCAAGTAATCTGCCTGCCTTGGCCTCCCAAAGTGCTGGAATTACAGGCATGAGCCACTGCACCTGCCTTAGGCAGCTCTTGGGGAAGGGGGAAAGGCAGAAAGGGAGGTAGGAGGGCATTTGATTTAAAGATCTACTCAATAAAGATCTCAAATTTATCAAAGACCTGGACTAACTTGATTGAGGATCCCTGTAAGAAATGAAAATGTATAAGAAGCCAATACTATTTTCCAGTAAGGGTAACAAAAGACTAAGAAAGACAAAACGAGAAAAGTCTTTTTTTTTTTTTTTGGAGATGGAGTCTTGCTCTGTCGCCCAGGTTGGAGTGCAGTGGCGCAATCTCAGCTCACTGCAACCGCTGCCTCTCAGGTTCTTGCCATTCTGCTGCTTCAGCCTCCCGAGTAGCTGGGACTACAGGCACCCACCACCATGCCCGGCTAATTTTTTTGTATTTTTAGTAGAGACAGGGTTTCACTGTGTTGGCCAGGATGGTCTCGATCTCCTGACCTCGTGATCCACTTGCCCTGGCCTCCCAAAGTGCTGGAATTACAGATGTGAGCCACCACTCCCAGCCAAGAGAAAAGTCTTAATTCATTTTTGTGATTATATTTTCTTTCTTTTTTTTTTCTTTCTTTTTTTTGAGACAGAGTCTCACGTTGCCACCCAGACTGGAGTGCAGTGGTGCAATCTCCACTCACTGCAACCTCCGTCTCCCAGGTTCAAGCAATTCTCCTGCTTTAGTCTCCTGAGTAGTCTCCTGTGGTCCCAACAGGTGTGCCACCACGCCCAGCTAATTTTTTGGTGTTTTTAGTAGAGATAAGATTTTACCATGTTGGCCAGGCTGGTCTCAAACTCCTGATCTCAAGTGATCTGACTGCCCGGGCCTCCCAAAGTGCTGGGATTATAGGTATGAGCCACCACATCCTGCCCATTTTCATTGTTTAAACAATGCAGTAATTCCATTAAAGTTGTTATTTAAAAATAACATTTTAAAATGTTATTAAAACGCATTAGTGTACTGTAAGGCAATTGGTAACCACATTTAACATAACATTTTAAAATAACAACTTGAAAAATACTGAAATGTAAACAGAATCAACGTGTGATGCTACATAACAGAACGATACATAAAAGAATCAGACAATTCTGTATGTTAAGACTTCACCTAATGTTATATTATAAGCATTTTATAGGCATTATAAGCATTGTTATGTCTTTCTGTTTTAGACAGGATCTCACTGTCACCCAGGCTGGAGTGCAGTGGTGTGAACACAGCTCACTACAGCCCCAGGCTCAAGTGATCCCCCATCTCAGCCTCCCAAGTAGCTGGGACTACAAGCACAACCAAGGAAGTGTAATTTTCCTATTTTTTGTAGAGATGGAGTTTTGCCATGTTGCCCAGGCTAGTGTCAAACTTCTGAGCTCCAGCAATCTGCCTGCCTCGGCCTCCCAAAGTGCTGGGATTACCGGTCTGAGCCATCATGTGTTACGTATTTTTTATAAACATCTTCAGCCAGGAGCTGTGGCTTGCTTTCCTTGTTAAGGTAACTGGAACAAAATTATCCTCACATAGTAATAAGACCAATAAGTGAATGTATGAACTGCATTCCCCATTCACCTGAGGAAAGTGCCTCCAGAGCCTGGAGATTATCTAAATGCTAACATTATGAACTCCTGGGTTTGAGACTAGCCTGGGCAACACAGCGAGACCTCGTCTCTACTTTAAAAAAAAAAAAAAAAAAAGTAAAAATAAAATAAAAATAAAGATCTTCTTAAGTGACTTTATAATATCTATCATAAACTACAATAAAAGTTTTAGTCAGAAATCTCTCTTCATAAACCAAAATCTTTACTTGGAATATCCAAGAGGCAGAATTACTGGATCAAAGAACATGGCCATCTTTAGGATTCCTGATAATTCCCCATCAAACTGTTTTTCAAAAGGTTTGTAACAATTTTTTTTTGTTTTGTTTTGAGACGGAGTCTTGCCCATACTGGAGTGCTGTGGCACGATCTCGGCTCACTGCAAGCTCCGCCTCCTGGCTTCACGTCATTTTCCTGCCTCAGCCTCCCGAGTAGCTGGGACTACAGGCGCCCGCCAGTATGCCCAGCTAATTTTTTTTGTATTTTAGTAGAGATGGGGTTTCACCATGTTAGCCAGGATGGTCTCGATCTCCTGACCTCGTGATCCACCCGTCTTGGCTTCCCAAAGTGCTGTGATTACAGGTGTGAGCCACCGCGCCTGGCTGTAACAATTTGTACACACACCAGTGACATATGCCCATTTCTTTAAACTCTTATACATACAGACTATTCTAACTTTAAAACCAATATCTCACAGGCAAAAAAAAAAAATCTCGTTTTAATTTGTACACTTCGTATGAAGGTTAATACTCTCCATGTTTTTTGTTCAGTTTCATTTATTCTTGGGGATAAGACTCCTCTATCACTGTCACTTTTTTTTGAAATGAGAAAAAATCCCTCAGGGAAAAAAAATGACACAGAGATCAAAAGAGTATCACAAACATAAGTGATAAGTACACAGGGGTTCCACTCGCTAAGCTTTCTAATTGTTTATGATTGAAAACTTGTATAATAAAAATATGTAAGGCCGGGCACGGTGGCTCACATCCATAATCCCAGCACTTTGGGAGGCTGAGGCTGGTGGATCACCTGAGGTCAGAAGTTCAAGACCAGCCTGGCCAACACGGTGAAACCCCATCTCTACTAAAAATACAAAAAAATTAGCCAGGTGTGGTGGCAGATGCCTGTAATCCCAGCTACTTGAGAGGCTGAGGTAGGAGAATTGCTTGAACCTGGGAGGTGGAAGTTGCAGAGAGCCGAGATCGTGCCATTGCACTCCAGCCTGGAGCCAGCAGCAAGAGCAAAACTCTGTCTTAAAAATTAAAAAATTAAAATTAGCCAGGGATGATAGGGCGCACCTTAATCCCAGCTACTTGGACGGCTGAGGCAGGAGAATGGCTTGAACCCAGGAGACGGAGGTTGCAGTGAGCCAAGATTGTGCCACTGCACTCCAGCCTAGATGACAGAGCAAGACTGTCTCCAAAAAAAAAAAAAGAAAAACAAAATTAATTAATTAATAAGTATCATGTGAAAAATGTGGCTGAATTCTGAACATGAAATCAAACACAGTTTAAGTGAATATTTTATTCTTTAATGCATGCTGAAAAAATAATAAAGTTAAATCTTCGATACAACTAGGTTGTCATATGCCACGTTATTAGCATTTAGATAATCTCCAGACTCTGGAGGCACTTCCCACAGGTGAACAGGGAATGCAATTCACACATTTACATACTGGTTGTTGTTATTACTATGTGAGGATAATCTGGTATCAGTTACCTTAACAAGGAGTAGTTCCTTATGCATTTTGTGGGAAAATATCAGACCTTTAAAATGGAACACTGTTATAAAAAGAATAAAACATCAAGAAATAAAGAAGACATATTCTGAGAGTAACTAAAATTCTTGTTTTATCCTATTATGCTTTATGTCAGATGCTTAAAATTTAAATATAAAAAAGTTTTACTTCTGAGGAAAATCCTGAATGCACTATGTAACATTCACTACTAAACGGCAAAAATTGGAAGGTCATATACAAATGGTTGTGTTAAGCAGTGGAATTGCAGACAATTTTTATTTCCAAATTTTCTTCAATTATATTTCAACTTTCAAAATAAAAAGTTAGGTATAATAAAAAGAAATTAACTCTTATTTTAGTACACATAACACAGAAGATACAAATTTTACAAATGTTGTCTTTGTGCTAGAATTCCACAAAGTTTCTTAAGTAAATTAGCAACATTAGTAATCATTTCCCCATCTTTAAACATGAAGTTATTTTACAAAGACTACTAGCTGCTGAAGACCTTTTAAAATAACTAGAAAATTTTCCTCACCTTACACATGCCGTAGTCAGTGAGTTTAATGTGGCCTTCAGAGTCCAGTAATACATTGTCCAGTTTCAAATCTCTATAAATTATCCCTCGCTCATGAAGATAATTTAATGCTAGACTGATTTCTGCAGAGTAAAATCTAAAATAAAATAAAAAATAAATCATTTGATTCAACCATATTTAAGTTCTACATTTGTAACTGGAAACACAAAAATTCGTATCAAAACATATTTTTTTCTCCCAGTGATTTTAGGAACAAATTTTAAAAAAGAACTGAAGAACCACTTTAAAACATCTGAGCCCAAGACACAATTGTAAAAGTTCCTGTCTAACTTAAACTCACATTTTTCATAAAGCTATTAATTTGGTAAGTCTCAAACAGGGGTTCTTAATCTGGGTCCTTGGGTGAACTTCAGGCAGTCCATACTTCTACAACTGGGGGCAAAGGTGTATGCACAAATGTATATGCACTGTATCTACAGAGTCCTCAAAGCTTCATCACTTCTCTAAGGGACCCATGATCCCCCGAGAAGGCTAAGAACCACTGATGGGGTCGAGAATAGAAAGAATACTACGAGTTGACTACTCAAAACCATAAAATCCTCATGAAGGTTTTAGAAAAGGAATTAAATGAAAATACTCTACAACTATAAAATTCAATATTAAACGAAGAACTTAAAAAAACTGCTACCAACTCACTGGTGACAACCCAGAACTTCTGGCCTGAATAATGAAAATGGAACGCCTGAGCTGATGTCTGGCTGCTTTGGTGGCATATTATCATGATCATGTGTGGAGGGACATAACATACACCTTCGAGCTACTTAATTCTGTGATTCGGGAACTTAAGCCCTTATCCTGGGCTTTCGTCCTTACAAAAGCAAAGATGGTATAAAACCAGAACTGGTACATTAATATAGTAAAAACCAGACTAGCTTTCCCACATTCAACTGAACAAACAAGGAACAAATATTGGCTATGTTTGCAATTCAAAATATCATCTGTGGCTCTGCTAGAAGGGTGACCATTTGATAAGGCATAAATACATAATGAAAATAAATGAACACCAGAACGACAACAAAACCCAAATAAAAAACCCAGCTTGGCCTCAAGATTAGATAAGTACAATTTATATCTTCTTATGAAATTAAAGATTATCACTTTTTGACAAGGAATAATGAAGTAGCAAATTTTCCAAAAGTTTTTAATTTAAATGAAATTTCTAATATTTGTTCCCTGCATGATAATTACATGCATATACAAACTCACGTGCTTCATTTTGGCATTACTCTTGTGAAGTAGGAAAGGGTGAGAATTACTGCTGATTATGAATAAGAAACAAAACATGGTACTGATGGATTAAACCTTTTACTCAAGGCCATGATCCCTTCCCACCTATCTCCTCCAACACATAAACAATTTACAATCTTGTATATTAATATCAAATTAAGGGCACAAAATTAATATTCAATACTCTTTTTTTTTTTTTTTTTTGAGACGGAGTCTTGCTCTGTCACCAGGCTGGAGTGCAGTGGTGCGATCTCGGCTCACTGCAACCTCCGCCTTTCGGGTTCAGGCAATTCTCCTGCCTCAGCCTCCTGAGTAGCTGGGATTACAGGCACCTGCCACCACAACCAGCTAATTTTTGTATTTTCAGTACAGATGGGGTTTCACCATGTTGGTCAGGCTGGTCTCAAAACTCTTGACCTCAGGTGATCTGCCCACCTCAGCCTCCCAAAGTGCTGGGATTAGAGGTGTGAGCCACTGTGCCCAGCCAGAGGGATCATTTAATTACTCTCAAGTATGTATGAATAGCACTTTTATCGTGAAAAACTCTCTGAGAGACCACTACAAACCTGAAAAGACTAATTGTGTTTATTAGTCTCAATTATTTAAATGGCTGATGCTAAACAGACAAAATATTTGAAAAAGATTGGTTTTAGTAGACTAAAGGTTTCCCTATTAATACTGTTAACACTTTTCAATTGCTTAGGAAGCACTGTGTGCATGTGTATGTACATCTATGTGTATAAATGTAAAATCATATACACTATAATTGTTTTACACATATATAAGTGTTTTACACTTACATATATAATGTAAAGTAACTTTTAGCTCAGCCTCTGCATGACTTACGAAGAATTAATTGTAGAAAAATAAATTATTTATCTACTGTTTCAACCACTGCACATAAAAAAAGCCACAAGGCCCCGAAAAGAAAACAACACAAACAGTAAACAAAAACTCACCTGGCATGTTCTTCAGGAAGTTTTCTTTGTCGCTGCATATGAAACATTAGGTCTCCTCCATTTACATACTCTATAACAAAGAACAATCTAAAACACAGGGGAGAACCCATGAAATCAAGATCCAAAATAAGGTAGTGTAACTTTGCATTTTCAGAAACCATCACAAGAGACAGCATTCTCTACTATTTAGCCTTTAAAAAGATGCCAAAATTTTGGTGGAAACAAAGAGTATCTAGGGTATGGAAGATACGGAAGATACAAGAAAGTAAACCAGCATGATAATAATTTTGTAACCGACTACTTCTGTTCTAAAGTAGTACCACTTGCAACCCAGAGTCACTCATTAATATCCTAATTTCAGCATTTGCTAAATAAGTAATTTTTGACTGTCAAGGTATTTTTCTTCCTTGTTAACCTCTAGAAAATTTTAAGTCATAAAACTAGAATATTGGGGATATTTAAAAGGTTGGATTTCTATTGCCATAATTATGACACGGCTATTTCTTTTTCTGCCTAAAGTGGGTCATTTCCTAATGCTGATCTAATATCAAACTGATATCACTGATGTGAGTATTATTAGCAGGAAGTTACAAGCCTAACACTGTTGCGTCCTCCATGATGTCTACTTCATGAATTAGAGCAGGAAGGTTCTAACTGTGTCATATGACCAAAAATATGAAGCCCAGTAATCATTCTATTATCTTTCAATCTTACCTGCTTTCTGTCTGAAAGCAAGAATGTAGCCCAACAAGGAAAGGATGATTGGATGCCTGCTCAAACACATGCTTCTCTGTCTGTACCCAATCAATATCCTATTTTGAAACATGTAAGAAAGCTATGTCAAACTGATATCACAATTAATGATAAATTTGCTCTGAGCAATTCAATGGTTGCAAATGCAATGGTTAACTAGGCTAAATATCAAAACCTTTGATAATCATGAAACGAAAATTTACAAACAAAGAGAAAAATAACACTAGTAAATCTTTCAGTATTATAAAACTGTCTAGAAAAGTTTTACAAAGCTCAAGTATTTCTCCTGATAATAATGTGGTTTGATTTTTGTTTTTCTAAAAAAATCTAATAATAATCAAATTACTTTAAATATCTTATACAGTCTATAAGAAAAGTAAACTGAAATAATATATTTCATTTACCTAGCACATATTTAGAAAAGCAGAATGAGATAATAAAGCACAAACATAGAGGTTTTCTTTAAAATAGTATTCTTGGCCGGGCGCAGTGGCTCAGGCCTACAATCCCAGCACTTTGGGAGGCTGAGGCAGGCGGATCACTTGACGTCAGGAGTTCGAGGCCAGCCTGGCCAACATGGTGAAACCCCATCTCTACTAAAAACACAAAAATTAGCTGGGCATGGTGGTGCATGCCTGTAATCCCATTTACTTGGGAAGCTGAGGCAGGAGAATCACTTGACCTGGGAGGCAGAGGTTGCAGTGAGCCAAGATTGCACCACAAGCACTCCAGCCTGGGTGACAAGAGTGAAACTCCACCTCAAAAAAAAAAAGAAAAATAGTATTCTTAAGCAGTTTAGAAACAATAAAATACGCAGTGCTTACCTCATCATCATTAACAAGCTCTTTTTTCACAACTTTCATTGCATAAATACGATCTGTTTTTTTTAATCGAACCAATAGTACTTTGGCGTAACTTCCTCTTCCTATTACCCGCAGCAAATCAAAATCCTGGAGACCTAAACTGGATGAAGCTTTGCCACTTTCCCTAGTGTTCATTGCCTGTTGAGAACATTTGTATCAGAGTTATAATGGGAAATGCTTTGCATAGTACATTATATTTCTAACACCTAGTTGTACCTATAACGATTTAAAGATATTTTCCTAACAGAAATATGTTTTAAGTTCTTAATATTCTTCAAATGTCATTCCAAACCATATAATCTAACTACCCAGATTATATGGATGAATTTTGAGATAAGAGGGATGGTAATAAGAATGGGGAGGGAGTTGAAATCACAAAAATATTGGAGGATGTCTTAAAAAGGATATGATAACTTTCAGGTATAGAGGCAATAGAGATGCAGGAATTTAAAAAACAGATTAACCTTGGTGACTAAGAGATTGGGGGTACCACTGACAGGGAACATCAAGTGTGTGGCTAGGATAAGATTGACAAAGTTACTGGAGAGAACGATTGGATTTTTCATAATAAATTCAGAAATTATAATGAGACATCAAGATGAAAGAGTCTGCTGGAAGCTTGATGCATAAAATGTAAGCTAGTGAGAGCGCACATTCAGAGGCGTTTTTGGATGCTATAGACAGAAAACAAGCAAGAAGTAGTTCAGCGAAAGGAAGACATTCTTTTCCACAGAATACCAAGGCCCCTCTGGGACGACATAGTAAGCCTTAAAATTCATTCACAACTACAAATGTAAGCTTCTGGCAATTTACAGAGAAGCCTGAAGACAGTCTTTTATTAGATGCCTGCAAAATCATCAACACACAAGGGACCCATGAGAATAAAGTACGAAATCTCTGAAGTGAAGAATACCAAGAAAAGCAAAGAGGAAATTCTGAGAAAGATAAAGAAACCTGCAAGCACAAAACTGAAAGAAGGGTATTAGAAAAACTGAGTGAGAACGACAACTTAAAAATTTAGAAACAATAATTTGGGCTGCACACAGTGGTTCATGCCTGTATTTCCAGCACTTAGGGAGGCTGAAGCAGGTGGACTGATTGAACCCAGGAGTTCAAGACCAGCCTGGGCAATGTGGGGATAAACCTCATCTTTACCAAAAAATACAAAAATAACTGGGTGTTGGTGGTGTGCACCGTAGTCCCAGCTACCTGGGAGGCTGAGGTGGGAGGATCACCTGAGCCAGGGAGGTCGAGGTTGCAGTGAGCTGTGACTGTGCCAGTGCGCTCCAGCCTCTGTGACAGAGTGAGATCCTGTCAATAATAATAATAATAACAATAATTTGATTTGGTAACAAGGTGATACGGTTTGTATATTTGACCCCTCCAAATCTCAAATCTCATGCTGAAATGTGATCCCTAGTGGGAGGTATTTGGGTCACAGGGACAGATTCCTCATGAATGGCTTTGTGCATGCCTGTGTGGTTAATGAGTGAGTTCAGAGTGTGGCACCTCCCCTGACTCTGGTGCTCCCTCTCTTGCCATGTGGCACACCTGCTTTTCCTTTGCCTTCTGCCAAGACTGAAAGCTTCCTGAGGCCCTCACCAGATGCAGATGCTAGTGCAATACTTACTGGTCAGCCTGCAGGACCGTGTGCCAAATAAATCGTGTATAAATTACCCAGCCTCAGGTATCCCTTTATTCCTTCCTTCATTTATTTATTTAAGAAAAGTTCTTGCTCTGTCACCCAGGCTGCAGTACAATGGCACGAACATAGCTCACTGCAGCCATGAACTCCTGGGCTCAAGTGATCCTCCTGCCTCAGTCTCCCAAGCAGCTGGGACTACAGGCATGTGCTTCCACACCCAGCTAATTTTTATTTATTTGTTGTAGACATGGGGTGTTTTGCTAAGTTCCCAAGGCTGGTCCTGAACTACTGGCCTCAAATGATCCTCTAGCTCCAAAGTGCTAGGATTATAGGCTTGAGCCGCAACACCCAACCTTCAGGTACTCCTTTGTAACAACACAAAACAGACTAACACACAAGGATAAATAAAGCAGAGTGAAAAGAAACCACGTTCGGGCAGGTTAACAAAGAAGAGAATTGTAAGAAAATAAGTCAACATATAGACTTGAAATACGGCTAACTGGAAACTATGAGAGAGAATCAAGTGGAGCAGAAAAGAGCAGAGTAAACTTCACGGACACAATAATAAGGCTGAATGAAATGACAGAAGCCACATAACAGTGAAACGTCATCTTCAAAGGGCCTAAAAGAGAAGAAAGCAGCTGACTTAGAATTCTCTATCCTGCAAAAGCAGCTCACAAAGTGAAAGTGAAAGAAAAACATTTTCAGACAAACAAAAACTGAGTGGATCCATCACTAGTAGGCACTCACTAAAGGAAAAACTAAAGTTCTTGAAGGGGAAAAAGCATGATCTCAGATAGAGGAACAAAGATGTAGGAAGGAACGAAAAACAAAAAGGGTAAAATGTGGGTAAATCTACATAAGGAGTAACTGTTTAAAAAAACAAATATACACACACACAGAATTTTAAACTCTGACAATAATAGCACCCAAAGGCAGGAATGGAAGAGGAATGAATTTAAAGTGTGCCAAGCACTGCATTTTCTAGAGAAACAGTAAAAGTGTTATTTGTAATATTTTTTAAATTCAAATTTTATCTTAGAGGGGCTATGTGTGTGTGTTTGTTACATGGGTATATTGCAACCAGGTAGTGAATGTGGTACTGAATAGGTAGTTTTTCAACCCATGCTACCCCCGCCACAAGCAGCGTCTGCTGCTCCTATGATTATGTTTATGTGCGCTCAATGTTTAGCTCCTACTTGTGAGAACATGCAGTATTCAGTTTTCGGTTCCTGCGTTAATTCGTTTAGGATTATGACCTCCAGTTCTATCTATATTGCCACAAAACACATGGTTTCATGTTTTCTTTGCCCACTCCACTATTGATGGACTCCTAGGTTGATTCCATGTCTCTGCTATTGCGAACAGTGCAGTGATGAACATACAAGTGCATGTGTCTTTTTGACAGAATGATCTGTTTTCCTTTGGGTACATACCCAGTAATGGGAGACTGCTAGGTCAAACGGTAACTCTGTTTAAAGTTCTTTAAGAAATCTCCAAATTGCTTTCCACAGTGGCTGAACTAGTTTACATTCTCACCAACAGTGTATAAGCATTCCCTTTTCTCTGCAGCCTCACCAGAATCTGTTGTTTTTTGAGTTTTTTTTTTTTTTTTCTTTTTGAGATAGTGTCTCACTCTGTTACCTAGGCTGTAGTGGCGCAATCACGGCTCACTGCAGCCTCGACCTTTGGGGTTCAAGCGATCCTCCCACCTCAATCTCCTGAAGAGCTGGTACTACAGGTGCACAGCACTGGACCTGGCTAATGTTTTATTTTTTTGTAAAGACTATGTTGCCTAGGCTGCTCTTGAACTCCTGGGCTCAAACAATCCTTCCACCTCAGCCTCTCAAAGTGATGGGATTACAGGTGTGAGCCATCACACCCAGGTTGACTTTTTAGTAACAGCTATACTGACTGGTGTGAGATGGTATCTCACTGTGGATTTGATTTCTATTTCTCGATAATTAGTGATGATGAATGGTTTTTCAGGTTTGTTGGCTGCTGATAGGTCTTATTTTGAGATATGTCTGTTCATGTCCTTTGCTCCCGCCCACCTTTTTTTTCTTTCTTTAAGCAGAGTCTTGCTCTGTAGCCCAGGCTGGAATGCAGTGGCATGATCTTGGCTCATTGCAACCTCTGCCTCCTCAGTTCCAATGATTCTCATGCCTCAGCCTCCTAAGTAGCAGGGATTATAGGTGTGTGCCACCATGCCCTAATTTTTTTCTTTTTTGTATTTTTAGTAGACATGGGGTTTCACTACATCGGCCAGGCTGGTCTCAAACTCCTGGCCTCAAGTGATCTGCCTGCCTCTGCCTCCCAAAGTGCTGGGATTACCAATGTAAGCCACCATGCCTGGCCCTTTGCTCATTTTTAAATGGGGTTGTTTTTTGTTTTTAAGTTCCTTACAGATTCTGGATATGAGATCTTTGTTGGATGTATAGTTTGTGAATATTTTCTCCCATTCTGTAGGTTGTCTGTTTATTGGTAGATTCTTTTGGTGCACAGAAGCTCTGTAGTTTAATTAGGTCCCATTTGTCCATTTTTGGCTTTGTTGCAATTGCTTTTGGAGACTTAACCAAAAATTCTTTGCCAAGGCCAATGTTGAGAGGGTATTTCCTAGGTTTTCTTCTAGGATTTTTATAGTGTGAGGTCTTACATTTAAATCTTTATTCCATCTTGAGTAAATTTTTGTATATGGTGATAAGGGTCCAGTGGTGACACACGCCTGTAGTCCCAGCTACTTGAGAGGCTGAGATGGGAGGATTGTTTGAACTCAAGAAGTTGAGGTGTAGTGAGCCATCACTGCACCACTGCATGGCTGCCTGTGCAATAATCCTGTCTCACAAAAAAAAAAAGAAAAAAGTTAAAAAGAAAAAAAGACTTTTTCAGACAAACAGAACAAGAAACTAAAACATAACATCAAACAGGTGACTTATAGGTTTCTTCAAAATAATACAGGAGTGAGAGAAGTGAGTAGACAAAATAAGGCTGGCCATGAATTGATAGTTGTTTTAACTAACAATAGATACAAAGGCTTTGTTATATTATTCTGTTTACTTTTATTTATGTTTGAAATTTTTGGCTGGGCACGGTGGCTCATGCCTGTCATCCTAACACTTTGAGAGGCTGAGCTGGGAGAACTGCTTGAGGCCAGGAGTTCGGGACCAGCCTGGGCAACATAGTGAGACTCTGTCTCTATAAAACAGAAAATGAAAAAATTAGCTGGGTGTGGTGGCGCATGCCTACAGTCCTGGCTACTCGGGAGGCTAAGATGGGAAGATAACTTGAGCCCAGGAGTTCAAGGTTGCAGTGAGCCATGATCACACCACTGCACTCCGGCCTGGGCAACACAGCAAGACCCCAACTCAAAAAAAAAGAAAGATATGGGAAAAAGAGACAGTGTGAACTAAACCTTTCATGTCCAGAAATACACAGAAATGAAAAATTAAAAAAAAGAAATACAAACATTATGGATGTAACTAGAAATGGTTTAAAAGGTTGCTAAGAAGTCAAACTGGGAGTGGAAGGTATGAGACATTATCATCTTTTTCACTATAAGCTTTTTTCAAAAACCTGATTATTATTGTAATCAAATAATTTTAATTAAGAATTTGTTTTGTTTTAAAAACTGATAAAATACTTAATAGTCAAAAAATAATGACAGTTAACATGTTTAATCATTTGTTATCTAAATAAGCAATTCAGGCACAAAATGGAAGGGTCTACTACATATTTTAAACAATACTACCAAGTATTTTAAACAGTATCAAATACATTGTGATTTTTAGATTCAGCTATTTTAAAATGAAAATAAGCTATCCCACTAAATTATTTCCTAGTTTAAATTAGTGATTTAATTAGTAAATTAAATGAGAACAAAACTCTGGAATCATCACAAATCATTTTTGTATTTCACCATTATGATCTAAAGTTTAAGTAGGTCAATATGTCATACTTTTAAACTCCTGAGCCTTATTAAAAAACTAATGACATAATGTACAATAAGACAAATTATCTTACTTCTTTTTCTTCACCAACTTGATCCAAACTCTCATGACTTGAAGGATTGTACGGAATTACTAAAAACCCATTAAAAAAAAAAAAAAAGGTACAGGGAGAAAAAAACAGCAACCATTAATGAGTTTGAAATAAAAATTATCTCCTGATTTTTATTTTAGATTTTACTTCTGAATAAATTTTCTTATTTAAAACTGAATACCTGTCCTACTAGTAACAAATTGTATGTAAATACAATAGTTAAATCCCAATCTTTAGTGAGGGTAAAGAGAGCAAGCATTACAACCTGGTAGCCAAGTACTGCATTTAACAAGTACTTTTGTTATTTTTAAAACATTTCTCTTCTTTACAAATTAATCAAACACTTCCTTCTAAATGAATGACTGTAAGATATGCTTAAACTTTTTACTATGATTAAGACACAGAGATACAGGACCTCTGGTTTTCACTTCTCACTCCATTGTGCTCAAAATTTTCCTGACTACCACAATGGTCAAGTAAAGAACAGACAAGAATGGAACTTCTACTTCTTAAAGCTACTTGGGGCAAAAAAACACAGCCTACATTTCATAGAGCTGATCCTTCTATGACTACGAGATTGCATCTTGTCTTTCCAGAAAAACTCCCTTGTTTTCCCTTTCTTGATTTAGTCCAAAGAAGATCGTGCTGTTCTACCTCCTTTCACTGCTCTCCAAATTTCCCAGATACGTGTTTAAGGTTTTGTACCTATCTAACATTTTCACTTACACCATCTTCCTGGAATTTCCTATATTGCATCTCTCTATCTTTCACCTAATTTCTACTTCTGATAATAAAGCTTTTAATAAAAACAAGTCACTTCGGCTGGGCGCAGTGGCTCACACCTGTAATTCCAGCACTTTGGGAGGCCAAGGCGGGCAGATCACCTGAGGTCAGGAATTCGAGACCAGCTGGCCAACATGGTGAAACCTCGTCTCTACTAAAAATACAAAAAAACTAGCTGGGCATGGTGGCATGAACCTGTAATCCCAGATACTTGGGAGGCTGAAGCAGGAGAATCACTTGAACCTGGGAGGTAGAGGTTGCAGTGAGCCAAGATCGCGCCACTGCGCTCCAGCTTGGGTAACAGAGCAAGACTCTGTCTCGAAAGAAAAAGAAAAAAACAAGTCACCTGAACACAGTCAACATGGGTCACAAAATCAGCTTCATGGTTTTCATTATGGAAAAAAACTGAGTTTGCTGAATTTAAAGGAGTCTCAAAAGAAATTTATGTGAACTAGAAAAAATAGTCATCTGTTGTGGTTTACATAACTTTTTTTTTTTTTTTTTTTAAATAGAGACAGTGTCTCCCTATGTTGGCCAGGCTGGTCTTGAACTCCTGGGCTCAAGGGATCCTCTTGCCTCTACCTCCCAAAGTGCTGAGATTATAGGTGTGAGCCAACATACCCAGCGCACAGTTGTCTTTTAAAAATGCCAAATGTGTATGTTAAATTGTGTGATTTTACCACTGCGAAATATATGTATTTACTTTTAATTGGAAAGAAATAAATGTTGTTAAACTTGGGTAAGAGAGTCACCTAGGTAAGTCTTCACATGCTACTCTGTGAATGAACAATGGGTTGTGCCAGTACCGCTCTTACCTGTCTGTGCATGGTCAGAATGCATGGATGACTGATCCATGGGCATCACTGGTTCCTACAAACATTTCCAAAGACACAGTAACTCAGCGGAGTACCTCTATTACACCCAGAAACAACACTATTTCAACAATACACAGCATATTAAAATTTAATTTTGAAAGAATATAACAAGTGAGAATATATTTACTCTTAATTTTGTTTTATGAAACTATACAATACTGCTATGAATGAGGTAATGTTAGTCACATTTTACAGAAAAGAAAATACAAAACTAATTTCAGACCACCAATTAGAAATCAAATTAAACTGCCATATATTCTGCTTTGTTTTTCTTCAACACTACCTATTCTTCCTTCAAGCTCCACTTCAAATCTTTGGCAAAAATAAGTGTCTGGACTATGCATTCTTTAGCTGGGGCCCAGGGGTAGATTTCAGGATATCTAAAACACCTTAAAATTACATGTAAAATTTTGTGGGTTTCTCATTTTCCTGAAGATTCTCAAGGGTGTCAGTGGCCCCAAAAAAGAGAAAAAAAATACTTCCTAGAAACTAACTTACCCAAATAACGGCGAATAATCTCAGGAAAAAGGTAAATTCAAACCCAAGTTATTACTGATTTATTCTTAGACTCACATTTAATGAATACCAGCAGGAAAAGGTAAACTTGAGAAAGAACATTAATGATACAGTTAACACTTCAAGGCTGCCTTAAACACAGGCTCATAAGTAAGCTTAAGGATTTTTAAATGCATTTAACCCCATCCTAAATTTCCAATATAATCACTAACCCTGCCCCCTTTCCTTCCATATGTCACCAAATAATACTTAAAAATATTAACAGTAATCTATATAAATTATGTTGGAAATATTCAGCCTTCTGTTTTTCCTTAAGATTGGATTTTCCCCTTTACTACAAACCCATTCCTAAGCTTATATGAACTAATTAAAGAATTCTAATATCAAAGAGCTACCAGTAATAACCTGCTTTCACAATGTCCAAAGAAAGTACCATGAATAAACATGGAATAACAATTCTAAAGAACAATTTAGAAAGATGCATCCAGGTATTTTTCTTTCTTTCTTTTTTTGACTGTTCCTTGTGGAGCAGGGCTAATCGACAGGCAATGCACTTAGACAAGCTGCATCCAGGTATCTTTTTAAATGCGTATCTTTTAATGCAGTAATTCTAATTCTGGATCCTTAAGGAAGTAAGATTTGCCAGAAAGTTCACTAAGATTGGCCAGGTGCAGTGGCTCACACCTGTAATTCCAGCACTTTGGGAGACCGAGGTGGGTGGATCACCTGGGGTCAGGAATTCAAGATCAGCCTGGCCAACATGGCAAAACCCCGTCTCTACTGAAAATACAAAAATCAGCTGGGCGTGGTGGCACACACCTGTAATCCCAGTCACTTGGGAAGCTGAGGCAGGAGAATCGCTTGAACCCGGAAGGCGGAGGTTGCAGTAAGCCAAGATCGTGCCACTACATTCCAGCCTGGCTGAAAGAGCGAGGTTCTGTCTCAAAACAACAACAATAAAAAGACACATGCCAGTACATGTGCCCTCTGGTGGATAAACAACCCTCTGTAAAGTTGACTGAAAAACAACCCACCAAAAAACAAACAAACCAACCCCAGAATCTAATTAAACCTGGACATCCAACTACTGTACAAGACAAAAGAATAAAGAAGACAATAATATACTGAACATAACCATGGAGAAGTAATGAGCCAAATTCTGCAACAGTGTAAATGACAAACAAATGTTTCTTTTACAATTAAATTGTAAGGAAAAAAAGAAGAGAGAGCGATAAATGAAGACAGAACCAGTAAGTTAAAAAATATCTAAGAGATCAATCAACTGTACAGGTGGACTTCATTTGGATCCTGATTCAAAATGAAAACTATAAAAACAAAACTATAATATTTATGAGAACACTTACTGGATATTTGACATAAGGAATTTGTTTTTTAGTTAGTTTTTTAAAATGTCCTTCTCTTTTAGAGGTACATACTGAAATACGTCTGAGATTTGTTTGAAAATAACACAGGGCAAGGGGAAGTTAAGTGAACGGGGGTACAGATGAAACCAAGATTAGTCATGAGTTGATAACTGTTGGAGCTGGGTCTCTAGTACATGGGAGTTCATTATAGTGTTCTACCTACTCTTATACATGTTTACATTTTTTCCATATGGAAAATTAAAAATGTTTATGCATATAAATTTGCACAGGAAAAGTTCTGGAAGGATATCCACCAAATGACAATTACCTTTAGATGGTAGAATATATGTGGACTTTTACTTAATTTTTTTTTATTCATCTGTATTCTGTATTTTTTCTATAACAAACATATTTTACTTATATACTTAAAATAGAAATTGATAAATAAAAATTTTAAATGCTTTCCTCCCCAGTAATCTCACACTTTAAATAGCAAACATGGTATCTTTGACTCTTCTTACCTGATATCTGCTTAGGAGAGATGCCAGAATAATGTGAGCTATAAACTAATATGTTCAGATTAAAGGAGAGGGGAAAAAAGTCTCTTAAATGGTTCTCTCTATATTTTCCTAATTTAGACCAGAGGAATTTATAGTAGGTCAAAGAAGATAACTGTATCCCACAAACAAATATTACCACAGATATTTCGAAGTTCCAAAGTTCAAGGTATGTTAACAGGAATATAAGGTATTCCTACCCACACTCTGTAGCTACTCTGTTGTGTCGTAATTCCTGAACACCTCCTTATTTTAGCACTCTGTTCCAGTAGTGTTATCAAGCACGCTCTTAAAAAAAAAAGAAAAGAAAAGAAAAGAAAAGACAGACAACTGTATCTTACCGGTGGCAAAGAATGCCGCCCACATTCAATTGTGACGAGTTTATGGCACTTCTTATGAACCAAGAGTTTGCAGTTGATGCACTTATATCCTTGGCGTCCAAGACCCCATATTCGGTCTGTGCAGATGGCACAGTGAGCACGCTGAAAAGAGTAATTCAACAATATTTTATTAACCAAAAAGAAGGTCATAATCATTTCCCAGTTTGCTGACTCCATTCCCTTTGTCATGGTGTCAACTGTCAGCCCATGACAAAAACAAAAACAAAAGCAAAACAAAGCTTCCTCATACATAATTTTTTAAAAGCTATGAAGGTCAGTGAAAAACAGAGCTTATTTTAAACAGACAGTGAAACTTGCAACCACATCTCTTTCTAAGTCTAAGAATTTTCAGTCTTTACATAATTAAGTTCAGAATAATGAAAACAGAAAAAGTGAATTAAATTAGAAATATACATGGCAGAAAAAGCCATCGAAGGACTCCTAAGCAAACATTAACCTTGCAGGCTGTTCAGAGGTCAAACCAAAGCTCTGTTTTCTTAAAGAGCAATAACCTAAAGTGACTTTTCATTTCAAAGCCTCCCTCCTTCCTTCTTTCCCTTTTTTTTTTTTTAATTTGAGACGGAGTTTTGCTCTTGTTGCCCAGGCTGGAATGCAATAGCACAATCTCAGCTCACTGCAACCTCTACCTCCCAGGTTCAAGTGATTCTCCTGCCTCAGCCTCCAGCGTAGCTGGGATTACAGGCATGCGCCACCATACCTGGCTACGTTTTGTATTTTTAGTAGAGACGGGGTTTCACCATGCTGGTCAGGCTGGTCTCAAACTCCTGGACCTCAGGTGATCCACCCGCCTTGGCCTCCCAAAGTGCTGGGATTACATGTGTGAGCCACCACATTCGGTCTTTTTATTTATTTATTTATTTTTAAGAGACAGTGTCTTGCTCTGTCAGCCAGGCTGCAGTCCAGTGGAGTCACTTTGATTCACTGCAGCCTCAACTTCCTGGGCTCAAGCTTCCTGAGTAGCTAGGACTACAGGTGTGCACCACCATGCCCCGCTAATGACTGTATTTTTTGTAGAGATGGGATCTCACTACATTGCCCTGGCTGGTCTCGAACTCCTGGGCTTCCGTGTTACCCCTTCTCAGCCTCCCAAACTGCTGGGATTACAGGCAGGTACCATTGCACCCAGCCTCAAAGCCTTCTTAAATGTCAGTGCTACTGGAAGTAAAAGAGTTTGGAGAGGGATTTTGGGTGGTGGTTTCTATTTACATTAATTAATTTAGGACATGGCATTAATTTTAGAATGGAAATGGTATCCAAAAATTTGCAGTTATCAAGAGTATTTAAAAACTTCGCTTCTGGCCAGGCATGGTGGCTTATGCCTGTAATCCCAGCACTTTGGGAGGCTGAGGCGGATGGATCAGGTGAGGTCAGGAGTTTGAGACCAGCTTGGCCAACAAGGTAAAACTCTGTCTCTTCTAAAAATACAAAAAATAGCCAGGCCTGTTGGCTGATGCCTGTAGTCCCAGGTACTCAAGAGGCTGAGGCACAAGAATCGCTTGAACCCAGGAGATGCAGGTTGCAGTGAACCGAGACCGTGCCATTGCACTCCAGCCTGGGTGACAGAGTGGGACTCCATCTTTAAAATAAATAAATAAATAAATAAATAAATAAATAATAAATTAATAACTTACTTCTGAAGACAGACTGCTGCTTTCAAACTTTGGTTCTATCACTTACTAGCTGTATGATCTTGGGCAAGTTACTTAACAGGCCTGCACTTGAGGTTTGCCATCTATAAAGTAGAAATATATAGTACCTATCTCACAGGGTTGTTGTAAGGATTAAATGAATCAATGTATATAAGGCATTTGGAAAAGTGCCTGGTATATAGTACAACCCAGACAAGTGTTTGCTATTATTATTTTCTAAACCGTGAAAATCAAATTACAACACTAACTGGCAAAATAAAGATTAAATAAAGAAAATAAACCTTGCTTGTTTTCTGGCTGCCTTAAACTATATTTTAAAATCCAATTTTCTTACAGCTAGAGTATATTACGTGGAATAATTAATCATCCAATCTGGAGCTTTTTTTTTGAGACTGGGTCTTGCTCCATTGCCCAGGCTGGAGTGCAGTGGCACAATCTCGGCTCACTGCAACCTCTGCCTCCCAGACTCAAGTGATTCTCCTGCCTCAGTCTCCCGAGTAGCTGGGACTACAGGCGCACGCCACTGCACCTGGCTAATTTTTGTATTTTTAATAGAGATAAGGTTTTGTCATGTTGGCCAGGCTTGAACTCTTGGCCTCAACTGATCCAGCAGCCTTGGCCTCCCAAAGTGCTGGGATTATAGGCCTGAGCCACCACCCCTGGCCTGGAGCGTTTTTAAGAGTGAAAAGAGATGCTATTAAAAATTATAGGCATACTGCCTCAGGCAAACTGGAAATGTAAGCATGTTACTTATGTATTTAAAAGTGTGTAACAAGACTTAATAACAAACTACCTTTCTTTCATAGCAGAAAGGAAAAAAATAGCTGTCTCACATTATCAGCATTCAACAAGCTATGTTTACCCTGTTGAAACGCTTGGCTTGGAAAGTGTGGCCATTGGCACAATAAAGCTTTCTCCAGCGGCGTGCACCTCTACGGTAGATGGATTCTGAAGAGAGAGTAATAGTTAAAAAAAGAAAAAAGAGCAAGTGTGAGTAAAAGTCATTTTATAATTAAGTCTGTAATTTTTTTCATGATACTCATTGCAAGAAAAAAAAAATACTGATAAAAACGTGAACGTCAAAAAGTAAAATAGATTCATCAAGGGACCAGACAAAAATAATCCACAGGGTATAAATATTTGACTACTACTGCTTGTCTTTTTTTTTTTTTTTTTTTGTGAGACGGAGTCTTGCTCTGTCACCTGTCACCCAGACTGGAGTGCAATGGCACAGTCTCAGCTCACTGCAACCTCCACCTCCCAGGTTCAAGCGATTCTCCTGACTCAGCCTCCCGAGTAGCTGGGATTACAGGGATGCGCCACCACGCCCAGCTAGTTTTGTATTTTTAGTAGAGACGGGGTTTTTCCATGTTGGTCAGTCTGGCTTGAACTCCCAACCACAGATGATCCACCCACCTCGGCCTCCCAAAGTTCTGGGATTACAGGTGTGAGCCAACGCACCCAGCCTACTACTGCTTTTCTTTTTAAAAATTTTCCTCCAACTTTTTATTTTGAACATCTTTTAATCCCACAGGAAAGGTAAAAGAATAGACACCTTCATCTTCCACCGAGATTTACCAATTATTCATGTTTTGTCATATTTACTTTCTTCACTATAAAAAAACATACTTTTTTTTTTTTCTGAATTACTTGGAAGTAAAATGCAGATATCATGACACTTAAATACCCTTAAATACCGAAGTATCCATTGTCTGAGATTAAGGATATTCCAACCCCTCCACTCGACCCAATTCTACCTAACCACAATACCATTACCATGTCTTAGAAAATCAATATTAATTGAATATCGACCAATATACAATTCATATACAAACTTCCCTAACTGCTCTCACAGTGACTTTCTTTTTTGAGACATAGTCTCACTCTATCACCCAGACTGGAATCCAGTGGTGCAATCTCAGCCCACTGCAACCTCCGCCTCCTGGGTTTAAGCAATTCTCCTGCCTCAGCCACCCAAGTAGCTGGAATTGCAGGTACACACCACCACACCCAGCTAATTTTTGTATTTTTAGTAAAGATGGGGTTTTGCCATGTTCGCCAGGCGGGTCACAAACACTGACCTCAAGTGATCTGCCTGCCTCAGCCTCCCAAATTGCTGAGATTACAGGCGTGGGCCACTGTGCCCAGCTCCAAAGTGACTTTCAAAGCTCACTTTTTCTATCTAGGATGCAATCAAGATTCAGGGACTGCATTTGATCATGCTTTTTTGGTCTCCTTAACATTCTAAAACATTCACTCTGCCTTATTTGTTGCTACTTCTTTTTCATGATGTTGACTTATTTATTTATTTATTATTTATTTAAAGAGTCTGGTTAGTTGTTTTATATTATATCCCACATTCTGGGTGTGTTTACTTACAATTAGAGGCAGTATTAAATACCTTTGGCAAAAACAATACATAGGTAGTGTTGTGTATTTCTTATCTCATTACCTTTCATGAGGTACACAAATGTCAGAATATCAACTCCCACTACTGATGTTCAATAATCATTAAAGGTATTGACTGCTAGATCTCTTCATTGTAAAGGTACATTTCACTCTTTGTAACTATCTGTAAAGAGATATTTTGTACCAGAAGCGTATCTTTTTCCCCAACAACTTTTCATCCAGTGGTCTTTATATTAATATGTTTCTTAAGTATAGTTAGAGAAAGAGGTTCCAAATGATCAAATCTAGTCCACCTTCATACTTTTAAGTCCATCATTATTATATATATTGTCTATTAGTCATTAATAACATCCCACAGTAATGGTAATAACAGTAATAGTTAATACCACAGAAAGATTACATTAGGTTCCGAAAGTCATATTTTAAACCAAATGTAGCAATGGGTTTACTATTTAAAATTAAGATACTAAAGACCAGTTGCAATGCTCTCAATTAGAACTCTTAGGATAGCTTAATACAGAATTGAAAGTTTAGAGCTATTTCAATTAATTCAAAGCAAAACATTTACCACTATTCCTTCTAAAGTCATGAGCATGTGCATAAACCACAAATGAAATTGAGTTGCCTAATATCCACAATTAGTAAATTATGCCAAATACCAAAAGCAATAACTTACAATCAAACATAAGTTTGCATACTTAAATTACATTAGAACAAAGAGTAGTTGGACTCTTTTAGTGTATCTCATTAATAGTAATCATTGGCTTAGATATTCCAAATAAATTCGATTAACAATTCCTGACCTGGGGAAGCTTTTAAGTGGTGGTTCTCAAACTTTAGTGTGCATCAGAATCACCTGAAGAGCTTGTTAAACCTGGTAGCTCAGCCACAGTCCAAGAGTTTATGAATCATGTAGATTGGAGTGGGTTTTTTTTTTTTGAGACAGAGTCTCGCTCTGTTGCCCAGTGGCGTGATCTCAGCTCACTGCAACCTCCGCCTTCCAGGTTCAAGCAATTCTCCTGCCTCAGCCTCCCAGGTAGCTGGATTACAGGCATGCATCACTACACCTGGCTAACTTTTTTGTATTTTTAGTAGAGATGGGCTGTCACCATGTTGGCCAGGCTGGTCTTGAACTCCTGACCTCAAGTTGATCTGCTCACCTCAGCCTCCCAAAGTGCTAGGATTACAGACATGAGCCACTGCACCCGGCCTGAGTGCAGTTTCTATCCAGTTCTCAGGTGAAGCTGACGCCGTGGACCCCAATGGCTACATTTTGAGAGTTAGTTTTAAAATACAAAGATGTCCAGATCTCACTTACAGACTAATTCATTAGGCTTGGGGATGGAAATCTGGCATTGATCATTCCCTGCATCCCACAATTTTAATGTGTCCAAGGGTAAGAACCACTGTTCCACTGTGGACTATGGTTGGTTACCTGAAGTTACTAGGAGTTGGAGATCTAATAAATATACACATTTCTCTGGGTCAATTGTAGGAAGTCTGCAATATTTAAGACATTTAATAAGTGACTTGGGGCCAGATGTGGTGGCTCATGCCTATAATCCCAGAGCTTCGGGAGACTGAGGTGGGTGGATCACCTGAGGTCAGCAGTTTGAGACTGGCCTGGCCAACATGGTGAAACCTCAATTCTACTAAAAATACAAAAATAAGCTGGGCATGTTAGCGGCGCCTGTAATCCCAGGTACTCAGGAGGCTGAGGCAGGAGAATTACTTGAACCCCAGAGGCGGAGGCTGCAATGAGCTAAGACTGTGCCATTGCACTCCAGCCTGGGTGAGAAAGCGATACTCTGTCTTAAAAAAACAAAACAAAACAAAACAAAACAGTGACTTAGTAATTGTTTAAAAAAAAAAAAAAAACCACATTGCAGAAAGATAAAAGCCAATTCCTAATGACATGTGCTCAGTGTCATGTCACTCTCAAGTGGTATAACAAAAAAAAAACACAAGTGTGTTTGTTATGTATAACTGTGCATGCATAGACATAGACAGATACAGAGATAAAGCAAACAGGGAAAATGTTAAAAATTGGTAAATCTGGGCAAAGGATACATAGGTATCCTTGTTTTCAATGTTGTTTCAACTTCTGCATAGGTTTGAACATTTCCAAAATTAAATTTTAAAACTTAAATTTAACTTAATAAAGGTATGAAGTATATAAACACTCACTATCTTCTCCTGGACAAGGCATCCCAGGACGTTCTGGTACACAAGGGAACACTGAAAGAAAATAAATGAACGTGAGTTAACAGCATATTTAAAACATACAAATTACACAGAATTTAAAATTCAAATGTAAAAGACACTGACCCAGATTTCAACCTGACCCTCTCTTCATTTGAGACAAGATAGCATGCAGTCAATATTATTTGCCAAAGGGATTTTTTTTACCAAGGCCATATAAAAGAAGGTTTTATTTGCCTTTGCTTTGTTGATATTAAAAAAAAATTTAAAAAAAGGTCTTATAAAAACAAACATATCTATAAACAATGCATTAGGCTGGTCACGGTGGCTTACGCCTCTAATCCCAGCACTCTGAAAGGCCAAGGTGGGTGGATCACTTGAGGTCAGGAGATGCCAACCTGGCCAACATGGCAAAACTCTGTCTCTACCAAAAAATACAAACAAAAATTAGCCTATTAGCCTGGCATGGTGGCATGCCTATAATACCAGCTACTTGGGAGGCTGAGGCCCAGGAATCACTTGAACCCGGGAGGCGAAGGTTGCAGTGCGCTGCAATCATGCCACTGCATTCCAGCCCAGGCGACAGAGTGACACACCATCTCAGAAACAAAAACAAAAACAAAACAAAACAAAAAACCAAAGCATCAGAAGAGTGGAATTATTAATTCCAGTCCCTCGTACATCATTATTTTCTTATCCTTAAATAAATCATTAACTAGCATTTCGTTAAATCCTTGGTATAGTGGGACAAGTTTGTCACCAGGAAGGATGAAAATTAAATTACAAAATGTATACAAATATGAAACATAAAATATTAGTTTTTAAAAGATGTATACTATACTAAACTTAGGAATAAACTGACACCAGAAACAGCACCAAAATCAAAAATGTAAATTTACATTAGAAATTATAAATTTATATACTGATTCAAACCATTTTTATAACAAGGTAGAATATAAAGCAACAATGTATTTATGAATATCTAGTCAGCTATTGCTAGTCTGTGATGTACTAAAGGACATAGCTTAATAAAGAGCACAGACTACAGGAAGCACAGTTCCTAATGCATATTTTTAAAAGCTGAAACATAAGCTAGCTTCTGAAAGCATCTGTGATGTAGTATTAAAAGGCAATAAGACTTAAAACTGACTGTTTAATACCATTCATCAATCACTTCTTTATGCATTCATTGTAATTTTATTCTGGAAAGAGATGACAAAAAAACAGATTCTTAAAGTCCTATTAGAATCTCAACAAAGTACATTATGGATCCCTTGTGAGTCACTATGTCAAATTCTGGAGGTAGAAAAAATCAGGGCAGGTGTGCTGGCTGACTCCTGTAATCCCAAAACTTTGGGAGGGCAAGGCAGGCAGATCACCTGAGGTCAGGAGTTTGAGACTAGCCTGGCCAACATGGTAAAGCCCCATCTCTACTAAAAATACAAAAATTAGCTGGGCATGGTGGTAGGCGCCTGTAATCCCAGGTACTTCGGAGGCTGAGACATGAGAATCACTTGAACACAGGAGGCCGAGGTTGCAGTGAGTTGAGATTGTGCCGCTGCCCTCTAGCCTGGGCAACAGAGTGAAACTGTCTCAAAAAAAAAAAAAAAAAAAAAGATAAAATCAAACCACTGCTTTTTAAAAAAAATACACTGTAAAGGAAAATACAAAGAAATAGTAACAAGGCACTGAAATGATTCATTATACTTAAGGAAAGATTTATATTTGTTTTACTTTTTTAAAAGTTTCCTAAGTCTGGTCTCACAGCTCTCAAAAATGTTCAATGAAATACTGCCAATACATTGCAATTAAATGCAGTATATTAAGAGGTTCTTGGGTGGGCACAGTGGTTGACCTCTAATCCCAGCACTTTGGGAGGCCCAGGTGGTAGGACTCCTTAAGCCTAGGAGTTTGAGATCAGCCTGGCCAACATGGTGAAACCCTGTCTCTACAACAAATACAAAAATTAGCCAGCCATGGTGGTGCACGCCTGTAATCCCAGCTACTTGGGAGGCTGAGGCGCACTTGAACCCGGGAGGCCGAGGTTGCAGTGGGCTGAGATCATGCCACTGCACTCCAGCCTGGGTGACAGAGTGAGACTCTGTCTCAAAAATAAATATAGGAATCATGTAAATAGTTTCACTATTAACCTTTGAACAAAAGAAAGGATATTTAAGATACCTTACCTTTGGAGGTCACTATTTGTACACATTATAAAATTTCAACTAGATGACTTAGATTCCCCAGGCTCTCAATTTTTAACTTACATCATAAACTTGCTATGATACACTAAGAAATCACATTTTAATATCCAACGAGACATACAGAGATCACAAAATTCCCCAGACTGTAAGAAGCAGATTAATTTTACCTTCTATAGCATGTGAAAAACTACTAAATAAGGACAATTACTTAGGCATGAGTCACAGAGATTCAGAAAATGACATTGAGATTATGTTTCAAAATGGTCAAGAATGAAGAGTGATTTCGAAGAAATTATCACTCTGGACGAGTATGAAATGACTACTCTCTCACCATGAATCAAGAGTTCAGAATCCTTGTTTAGCTCATAAAGTCTAAAGGCTTCTTCTAACTCCAACTGAGATGATACAGTACACGGGTCTCCTAAAAAATACAAAGGTAAAGTAATGGTCACTTTAAAACCCCTAAATGTGATGATTACTAAACAAATTTCATAATGTAAATTTTGAGAAAAAATAATCTCATATTTATAAACATAAATATGTGACAAGGACAAATATTTATTTACTTTTTATTATTATTATTATTATTATTATTATTATTATTATTATTTGGAGATGGAGTTTTGCTCTTGTCGCCCAGGCTGGAATGCAGTGGCGTGATCCTGGCTCACTGCAACCTCTGCCTCCTGGGTTCAAGCCATTCTCCTGCCTCAGCTTCCCAAGTAGCTGGGATTACAGGTGTGCACCACCATATCCAGCTAATTTTTATATTAGTAGAGACGGGGTTTCACCATGCTGTCCAGGCTGGTCTTGAACTCCTGACCTGAGGTGATCCACCTGCCTTGGCCTTCCAAAGTGCTGGGATTATAGGCGTGAAGCACCATGCCTGGCTTAAGGACAAATATTTAGATATTTATTTAGACAATTCAATTTTCTGAAGTAGGTAACATAACTTCCATTTCTATTTGTACAAAAATACTACATGAGGTTCACAGACACTAATTTATATAGATATAAAATGTTGTTCTTTGGGGTTTTTTGGTGAGACAGGATCTCACTCTGTCACTCAAGGCTGAATGCAGTGACAGGATCACGGCTCACTACAGCCTTGACCTCCTGGGCTCAAGCAATCTTCCCGCCTGGGCCTCCCAAAGTGCTGGGATTATGGGCATGAGCCACCACACCTGGCCATTTTGTTCTTAACATTGTATATATCCCAAATACAGCAAACAGAATCTATTCCTGACCACATTATTTTTTTTTTGAGATGGAATTTGGCTCTTGTTGCCCATTCTGGAGTGCTATGATGCGATCTTGGCTCACTGCAACCTCCGCCTGGGTTCAAGCAATTCTCCTGCCTCAGCCTCACGAATAGCTGGGACCAAAGACGTGCAGCACCATGCCTGGCTACTGACCACAGTTTAAACAGTCACTGCTATGTGTCTAATGGGTATGGCCAAGAGCAGGCTTTCTGTTACTTGTTTCTTTAAAAGAGGAAGTGAAAGTAGTTCCATTGCCACAATATGATTAGTTAGAAGTCTCCATGTAATCATTTTATCAAATTTTTCCCTTCACATGACAGAGCCTCCTCAAAGGAGTCACAGAAATGAAAAGCTACAAAACTATGGAAGAAGAGTCACACTTGAGCTGCTACGAAATGTAAATGAACAGTTTTAGTAACAGACACACAGAGAAGGGACGGAAGAAACAACTCTCCTACCCAACTAGCCAGATAACTGAGTCATCCCTGGCAATCAATGAGGTGGCACATCTCCCTGGGCTATGGCATTCCTTAACGAAAAAGTCATTCAGGCCAGGTGTGGTGGCCTGTAATCCCAACAGTTTGGGAGGCCGAGGCAGGCGGGTCACTTAAGGTCAGGAGTTCGAGACCAGCCAAGGCAACATGGTGAAACCCCATCTCTACTAAAAATACAAAAATTAGCCAGGCACAGTGGTGTGTGCCTATAGTCCCAGCTACTCAGGAGGCTGAGGCAGAAGAATCGCTTAACCCAGGGGGTGAAGGGTGTAGTGAGTCAAGATTGTGCTACTGCACTCCAGCCCGGGCAACAAGGCAAGACTGTCTCAAAAAAAAAAAAAAAAAGAAGAAGTCATTTAGAGCCTAGTTTGAACCTGAGCGAGTGACAGTGAGTCCTTTATTCTGCCATTGATTTGCTAATTCCTGTAGTTACTATACACTAGATGCCACCAACCCTATCCAAATCTCAATCACCAGCATATAGCTCAGTCTGCTAATTGAGAAAGAAAAACGAAGTTGTTTTTCCTGGCTTCTCAAAGAAGAGTGCCTCTCCCTTTTCTTCATCCCACTTGACCACTGCATCCCTACTTCCTTTTATCTTCTGAGCTCGTCAGTTCCATTTCCATTTTTTCTCTCCTTCTACTTCCTAGCTCTTACCAGGCAAAGGAGTTTCTGAGTCTCCCTCTCAAAAACCTCTTCCAGGCCAGGCGCAGTGGCTCACACCTGTAATCCCAGCACTTGGGAGGCCAAGGTGGGTGGATCACCTGAGGAGTTTGAGATCAGCCTGGCCCGCCTCTACTAAAAATACAAAAATTAGCTGGGTGTGGTGGCACATGCCTGTCGTCCCAGCTACTCGGGAGGCTGAGGCAGGAGAATCACTTGAACCTGGGAGGCGGAGGTTGCAGTGAACCAAGATCACATCATTCCACTCCAGCCTGCGCAACAAGAGCGAGACTTCGTCTCAGGGGAAAAAAAAAATCTCTTTCCCATTCAGATTGACACTCCATTCATTCAGTAGCCACAAATCTCAAGAGTAAAACTAGAGACTAAAACTGGAGGAAACAGGTGAGAAGACGAGAAAGGAAAAGGGGCAGGGTCTTTGTTTTTTTCACTACATACTTACCTTTAGTATTTTAAAAATCATAAGTTTGTAATCTTTTACAATGAAACAACTTTTTTTCACATAGTGATCATATCCTTTCTCCATGTTCTTATCTTACACACATTTCTCAAAATGCTGCTGCCAGGTTTTAGCCCAAACACTACACCAAAACTGTGGTTGCAAAGGTCATGAAACCAGCTGCTGAAACCTAGGACATCTTTTCAGTCCTTATTCTAGGTGATCTCTCTTGTAGCCCCTGACAAAGTTGCCCACTGAGTATTATAGAAATTCTGTATCTAGGTTTGTAAAACACTATTCTCTAGGTTCACCAACTGTTCTTTTTAACTGTTTATTCTGGAAAATTTGAAACATATTTCAAAATGTTGTTTTTCTCTATATACCCACCCACTTATTCTCTCCCATGGCAGCATTCTGACAAAATCTCTATAACTCTAGATAAAAATTCCTTAGTATAATCCAAATACTGTTATTAACCTACAAAAACTAACAAGTATCTTCTTTGACCACAATGGAACAAAACTAGAAATCAGTAACAAGATGGACTTTGGGAACTACAAAAACACATGAAAGTTAACAATATGCTCCTTATTAACCAGTGGGTCAATACAAAATCAAGAAGAAAATTGAAAAATTTCTTAAAAAAATGAAAATAGAAACACAACACACTACCAAAACCAATGGGATACAGCAAAAGCAGTACTAAGAGTTGAGTTTATAGCAAGTAATAAGTGCCTATATCAAAAAAATGAGAAAGGCTCTAAATGAACAAACTAATGATGCATCTTAAAGAACAAGAAAAGCGAGAACGAACCAAACACAAAATTAGTAGAAGAAAAGAAATAATAAAGATCAGAACACAAACGAATGAAATTGAAACAAAACACACAAAAGATCAACAAAACATAAACCTGATTTTTTGAAAACATAAACAATATCAACAATCTTTAACTGAACTAAAAATAAGAGAGACAAAACCCAAAGAAATAAAATCACAGATGAAAAAGGAGACAATACAACTGATACTGCAGAAATTCAAAGGATCATTAGAGGTCATGGTGAGCAACTATATGCCAACAAATCAGAAAGCCTAGAAGATATGGATAAACTCCTAGATACATACAACCTACCAAGTCTGAACCACGAAGAAATCCAAAACCTGACGAGACTGCTAACAAGTAGTGAGATTGAAGCCATAATAAAAAGTCTCTCAGCAAAGAAAAGCCCAGGACCCAAAGGCTTCAGCGTCATTTAAAGAAAAACTAATACCAGTCCTACTCAAACTATTCCAAAATATGGAGGAGGGAATAGTTTCAAACTCATTCTAAGATCCAGTAATACCCATCAGTATTACTAAAACCAGACAGATACGTTATAAAAAAAAAAAGAAAGAAAGAAAGAAAGAAAAGAAAAAGAAAACTACAGGTCAATATCTCTGATGAACATTGATGCAAAAATCCTCAACAAAACACTAGCAAACTGAATTCAACAACACATTAAAAAGATCACTCATCATGACCAATTGGACTTTGTTCCAGGGATGCAAGGATGGTTCAACACATGCAAATCCATCAATGTGATACATCACATTGATACAACATGATACAACAGAATAAAGGACAAAAACCATACGATCATTTCAATTGATGCTTAAAAAAAAAAAGCCATTTGGTAAAATTCAACATCCCTTCATGACAAAAACCCTAAAAAACCTGGGGATAGAAGGAACATAGCTCAACACGATAAAAGTCATATAAGACAGACCCACACCTAGTATCATACTGAATGGAAGAAAATTGAAAGTGTTTCTTTGAGATTTGGAACAAGACAAGGACGCCCATTTTCAACACGATTATTCAACATAATGAGACAAGAGAAATAAAGGGTCTCCAAATTAGAAAGGAAGAAGTCAAATTATCCTTGTTTGCAGATGATATAATCTTATATATTTGCAAAAACCTAAAGACTCCACAAAAAAAAAACTGTTAGAACAGATAAACTAATTCAGTAAAGTTGAATATGAAATCACCATACAAAAATCCGTAGCATTTCTATATGCCACAGCAAATAATCTGAAAAAGTAATCAAAAAAGTAATTCTATTAACAGTAACTGCAAATAAAATAAAATACCTACGAATAAGTATCACAAAAGAAGTGAAAGATCTCAGCCTGGAGCAGTGGCTCATGCTTGTAATCCCTGCACTTTAGGAGGCTGAAGCGGGAGGATCACCTGAGGTCAGGAGTTCGAGACCAGCCTGACTAACACGGAGAAATCCCATCTCTACTAAAAACACAAAATTAGCCAGGCGTGGTGGTTCATCCCTGTAATCCTCAGTCGGGAGACTGAGGCAGGAGAACCACTTGAACCCAGGAGGCAGAGGTTGTGGTGAGCTGAGATCATGCCATTGCACTCCAACCTGGGCAACAAGAGCGAAACTCTGTCTCAAAAAAAAAAAAAAAAAAAAGTGAAAGATCCTTTCTTTACAGTGAAAATCATAAAATACTGATGCAAGAAACTGAAGACACACACATTAAAAAAAAAAA